AAGTACAAGTGTTTTATGTTAAACAATCAAATTTATTTTTGCACCATTCCCAAAGATCGATATATAATAGAAAGTGACGCAAAAATTAAACTGCACACCTTATACGTAATAATTAGATTGTTTAGCATATCTTTAAACAAGTAAATTAAAAAAAAATGGAAGTATGATTATAAATTCTAAATTCCAACACGTCAAAAATTTGAATTTATATACAAAAAATATGGACTTACTGCAGCCACTACTTTGCTTATGTCAAATATTTGGAAAAAATTTTATGATAGATAGCACGTTAAAACAATGTATTTTCTTGACATTTTTTACAAGAGTTGAAAAGTATAAAGTTAAAAGAAATGTTAGGACATTGATAACAAAAATTGTTATTTGCTTTAATATTTATGCAACTTGACAGCATAAAAATTTATTAGTAGTAGTGACAAGCTGTTACAAATTTAATGATATTTTCGTACACTGAAGGCTATTTGATCAATATTTTTGGGTCTGATTAACACACCTTGAAATATTATAAACCGATACTTTCTTTTTCGTCGCAACATCAATTTTAATGATGGACAACAGTAAATTTTTTTTAAATGCAACAAAATATTCTTTATTTACTAAATCTGGGTTTTTTCCGGTACCAATAAGATAAAATTGTCAAATGTACCAAATAAAAAATGAAATCAACAGAAATAAATACCATTTAAGATAAAAAAAAACACATTATGATATCATATAACTTATAATATGCCTTTTATATACATTTAGTATAAAAAAATCAAGAAAAAAACCTGTTACCCAACAAATTTTTTTGTTAATTTTATATTAAATTCAATGTTGAAGTTTAAAGGCAGAAATCACTGGTCACGTTGCATGCTTAACACGTTGACTGCGAGATAATCTCAATGCACTTTGTCCGTGACTGCGATACATATCTTCGGGGAAATGTAACAAAACTTTTTCTTAGTGCGGTACATATCCCTTGGGATATGTAAGTTTTTTTACATTTGACCCTCTATAAAATTAAAAATAACACAATTATTGCTATAAACTTGCATGTATCTGTAACTATATACACTAGGATAACGTTTTCATTCACAGTTATGAAAAGAAAAAATAGAAAAATCATTATTTCTGGTTTGAGTATTATTTTGTACGTTTTTTTTATAACTGGACACAATAAACTAGAAATAAGGAGCACTTATTCCCCCGGGATATGCATATTGACAGCAAGCTAATATGTAAAAATTGGAAATCTCATTCAAAAGCTATTTTGAAATTGGCCAAAAACTACAGATTCTGCAACTTCCACAAGATACAGTAAAAATGTGATTTTTGAAATATATTTTTGAGTACATACCCCCCGAGGTATGTACCGCAGTCAACGTGTTAATAAGCATTGTTCATTGATATGTATCTCTGTTGATGACTGTTTTTCATGGTACATTTTACTACTTCTTTTTGGAATGAATAATAAAAATCTATCTTTGAAAAAAAAATAAGTTCCAAATTGTATAGTTTACAACCATAAACTTTAGATTTTTTAAAAAATTAGAAAAAAAATGATGGAATTTCTTACGGCATATTTTTCAAAAAACGTGTTTAATTTCAATATTTCGCTGATAAGAAATTTTATTTCTGCTTTCAGTATTATACTTAGAAACTGAAGTTTTAGCAATTTTTAGTTACTTGATTTACTAAAAAAAAAAAAAACAACAAAACCATTTGTGGAAAATTCTGCTTATTTCAAAACAATTTAACAGCATTCAGAAACATTCCGCAACAACCTTGTTTCTCTTATTCTTCAATTTTAAATTTACTGCCAAATGGACGTGGTAATAACAGTATTTGTATTGTAATTAAATTCAATTACATAAAAAGTAATTAGGAAAATTGTAGAAAATATTTGGGATCGTTACACATTTCACAATGGAAAAAAAAATTGTACCTTTGATCAATAATGGCAAAAATATGGTGTGTCCGCTTTAAGTAATACCACCTTCATATTTTAAATAGAAAAAAAATTTTATAGTACAGTATCTCAATTTCTTAACCTACCAAAATAAAAAAACAGCCAAAAAGTGGAAGGAAATACCAAAATTTCATTTCGATAAATCGTACATGATTTTTGCTTTGGCAAATACAATTTTGCCCAAAGCAAATAATTTATTACACTGAGCCGTTTTAGGTTTAAATTTATAAAAAAAAGCAGGTATGTTGGCCTTGTTAATGTTATTTAAAAACCTGCAATCAGTAATCACTATAATTTTGCAATTACAATAAACGAACATTGGACATATAAAAAAGAAATTGATATTTCCTTGAAAATATTTATTTGGTTATCTCTATCTATTTCTTGAAATAAATGCTGTTTAAAATTTCTATTTTCAATATTTCTGTATTTATTTGTAAACAAATTTATCATTATAGCATATCACTCCAGTTACGATAGTATATCGTTCCGCCTTCAAAATGATGACGTGCATATTTTCAGCAAAACTCTCTAAGTTTTGCACATTTGCTAAAGGACATCAAACTGCATAATCCGGTTAAAAACAACCATTTTATTTTCTATAGAAATCACTGTTCAAAAAAACAAGAAACAGTTTTTAACTTCACTGAACAATTTGATAAAATTCACAATGCATCTTGAAGCCGCAACAATGATATATATTATTGCATTAACAAGGTCTTTCTGCATTATAAAACACTGAAAATTAGTAACTGACTAAATTTTTATATCACTGTAATATGATTTTCTTTAGACAGTCTTCTAAATACTGCATTTTAAAAATTGTAATTATTGTACTGCAAACACTGTATGATCTATGGAAAGAAATTCTGATATTAATAAGTACACATGTAGGATTCAATTAATCTATTTCTTAATGGAGAATATCAGAGTAGAAAAAGATGTTTTTTTCAATTTTTTTCGCTCGTTAAAGTTTGTCTTAAGAATATTGCGTGTATTATGATTTTGAAATTCTAATAATTGTGGAAGAAACGCTGATCAGCATTGCGAGATTGAAAATGCAGAACGCGTGCGAATCACCCAAGATAAAACTCACAACCCCAAGTTAAAACTCACAACGCGACCTATAAAGGGAGGATTCAGCGAAGACAGTCACGGATCATTGTAGAAAATGCTGCCAGTGCTGCGGAGGGCCTACTCTATGATCCAGGAATCACAGATTATCGGTAAAGTAAAAAAGTGTCTTCTCAATATAATATATCGACGCTTTAGAACGAAAACATGCTATCTCAGATTTCGGTTGGAAAACATGCCATCTCAAATTTCAGTTGGAAAACATGCTATCTCAAATTAAGCTTGGAAAATATGCTAACTCAGATCTTTAAGTAAAAACATGCTATCTCAGTGTGACTAGAAATTTAAGTTGGCACATTGAATGATTGAAACCGTGCATTTATAATAAACTTATAATATATTTTTAAAAAAGTAAGGAATGTATATGTTCAGGTACACTGTTCATGTTATTTTTTTTTTTTATTCAACATTTTTCAATTAATTTTGTTACTGTTATAAACGACAAAATTGTTAATTAAAAAAATAGAATAATATGCAGTATGCGTATATACTCGACGATTTTTGAAATGACAAATTATAAAAAATAGTATTTGCCTTAATATATAGAAATCAGATAAGAGTACGCTATTAATTTTGATATCAAAGCACTTGTTTGAAAAAAATCTAATAATTTTTAGTAATAACAAACATTTTTATATATTAAGATATACACTATTTTTTTATAATTTGTTATTTCAAAAAACGTCAAGTAATGTACGTGTTGCAGCATACTGCATATTATAATATTTTTTTAATAAACAATTTTGTCGTTTATAACAGTAACTTAACAAAATTAATTGAAAAATGTTGAATGAAAAAAAAATAAAATAAATAGGGTCCCTGAATATAAACATTACTTACTTTTTGAAAAATATATTATATAAGTTTATTATAAATGCAGGGTTTCAATCATTCAATATGCCAACTTAAATTTCTAGTCACACTGAGATAGCATGTTTTTACTTAAAGATCTGAGTTAGTATGTTTTCGTACTAAAGTGTTGATATATTATGTAATTATGAATATTTTATAAAAATAAATTTTTCCAAAAAAATTGTCCAAGTTTGGAATATGAAGAATATCGTGTGTAAATGTTATCATGATATTCCAAGAACTGTAAAAGTTATGGGTGATTTACCGAGAAGCTGACAAATAACCAAGCTCCCAAGTGCATCAATTCTTTGCCAAACTTATCTCAAAACTATTACTACTATTCAATGACAGTTCCCAAAATATTTGGAAAACGGCTGAACCAATTGCTTCCAAAAACTTGACATAATATTTTCCAACAGGTTTACTACTTCGGAACGTAGCACTTTTCCTCAATTATTTTTTTTTTATCAAGCCAGAAACGTCGGAAATTAAGGCTGAAAATGAATGTAAAGTTCAACCGGCAGTCATTTAGTGTAGTGAAGATCTTAATTCATTACATTTTGATAATCTTTTTGAAATTTTTGTTTCAGATCAACCAACTTCATGTAATCTTGGAAACCGCAGACCGTGAAAGCATGGCGACATTTTTTACACCGGCAATAACAACAGTGTGCTGCCAGTCGATTTATATTTATAAAGAAATTTGTCAGCTCACCTCAAGATGTATACTTTCGTATAAAACAAACCCGGATAAAATCGAACAGATAGTTATTGGGATAATAATTCCTAAAATTCGCTTATTTTTCCGATGTCTACTCGGATATTCCCCCTTAATTTATATATAATACTATTTTCAATTTTTTTACAGTAGGCCATGAAATTGAGTTAAATCAGAAATTACGCATGGCCACACAGATCTCGAATATTCCATGCTGAAAAAATATTTTTAAAAATCAATGTGTTGTAAAATACCAAGGCGGTGCTGCTGAAAGTGGAACGCACTGCAAGTAAAAAGCATTTTAATGAATAAAACTTCACAAAAGACTTACTGTGGACAATCGCATCACTTTATTATCATCAACATCGTCAACCACAATCTTAACCTGGCGATATTTCAGGTGGAAAGCACATAATTAGCAGCACATTTTGTACACGTAAATTTCAATTTCTAAGTTATTTACAGCTAGCCTATCCAGCGGTTGTAGGAAGGAAGAATATTTTTATAATTGTTCCCCTTTCACACAAAAAATCAACAACATAGTATTTTCGATCTATTGACTGGTCAACTGAAACAATAATAAAGACCGAACAAAAAAAAATTAAAGCATGTAATATTTTTACAGAGCCTAGTTACAGTTTAAATAATTGTACATAAATACTAATGTAAAATATAAAATAACAGGTATGTAATACATAGTATGACCTGTGGGTGACAAGCTGTGTAATATATTTAATTTCAAACCATCGAAAGGGAGCATTGTCATGGGACTTAACACTCAAGGTCACATTAAGTTGCCAGACATTCTACATAAAATGAAGAAACAATCCTAAAACTTATACAACACAGCCAATAAGTACTTCAAAAAAAAAGAACTACAGTTAACGATTGGTGGATCGTACGATAGAATGAAAAGCAACGTAAATCTATGAGTTTCTGAAATGGTTTGAAGTAAATACACTGCAGCTAACAGTCCACAATTGGCACTAATATTTTAAACAACAGCTCCATTTCTCAGACTCAGAACACTGTACACATTCCATACACTATTCTTACACACAAAACTAGAGCAACATTAAGTGTCTGTTACTCAGTCAGACATTATGAATAAGAGGTTAGCGACGGTTATATGTGCTCGGACCACGGTTAGGTGGCCCGTTGCTTCGGTTGTTGTAAGTGATGTTTCTGTTGTTCGGGCCACCCACCCCACCTGGCCCTCCTGTGCTGGGTCTGTTTAGTCCTCCGGGACCGCCCATACCCCGTCTTTGACCGTTGTTGTCACCTCTACCTCTGTTATTGTCTGTGCTCGGACGACCTCCTCCGTAAGTTGGACGATCTTTTGTCTTCTTCTCTTCCACGTTTAGGAGAGTGCCGTTTTTGTCATCCTTTGGGTAATAGATCGGCTGAAAAGAAATTATTCCTTCATTGGACGATTTGGAGAGTGATGTAAATTTTACGAATCTTTTTAAATTATACTTTAAATATAAATTCATATAAACAGGTACCCAAGCTCATAATAGTTCAACCAGCAAAAACTGTCAATTAGAAACTTTAATAAATCATGAATCCTGTAGAAATGATTAAACATTTCCATAAAACTGCTTTAATTATATACAGACTAAAAAAATTTGTTTTTTAATAAAACTCATCAAAGTCAAACAATATTCTTCCATACCGAAAATTTAAGTATGCAAATGATATCTAGACAAGTCACCTAACTGCTGATATTATGGTAAAACAACTACAAAGCATATACACAAAGTAAGAGCAGTAAGATTCTGATGCTCTCTGGTTTTTGTTTTCGACAAAGTTGGCAACACTGGCTTCAGTGCCAAGGAAACAGAATACACGTTCATTTGTCTGTCAGTAGAGAACTGTTGTTGTAGTGGAGTGTTGGAATGAATGCAGCTATTCCGAATCCTGTCAGCTGCGAGGTGAGGAGCATAATCCGATTTCTTCTTGCAAAGGGAAAGGTGCTGTTCCAGATTTTTAACAAAATCAAAACTTTATGGGGATGATGTGATCGTGATCGATGAATCGTACTAATGTGTACAAGTAGTGTCGTGAGTAAAAGCTGGCAAAACGGCAAAGCGAATGTTTGTGATGATCAAAAGAAGGGGTATTCCTCAATAGTGACTGAGAGAGCCGAATTATTATTAAAAGTATACAGGGTGTGTCTAAAATAGGGTTCCAAACTTCTGCGGCGTTTATAACTCATTAAAATAAGACAAAAAGTTCCTATTAACATGTGCCCTAAAACGCACCCTTAGGAAGTTATATGCCCTTCAAAGGGCTCAAACAAAACTGTTTTTTTTTTTTGTGTTATTATGGGTATTACATAACTATTTACGTTAAATAACATGGGCTACTCCGTTTTTCGACATGTAAATCATATGCGTCCCATTTAGGTTGGTGAAGGGGGTTTTCGGCCCGTAATTTTTATTATTTCAATTTTTTTACAATTTTCTCAACAGATTTATAAAATCTTAACAATTTTACGTAAAAAATATTATCTTTGTCCACATCGATACTTCCAATGGTTTTCGAGTAAATTGAGTTTGAAAATTACTCTGCTCTTTAAGTTATTAAGCCAAAAATTACAAAAATCTGTTTACCATGGCAAATAAAAGACTGACGTTGCCACAACGATTAACAATTTAAGTTATATTATAAACTGTCAATTGAGCTTTGCCGTGTTTAATATATTTATTAAGTGATCGGAACCTTCATAACTGCAATTTATTTGAAAAAAACCAGTTTTGTTTGAGCCCTTTTAAGGGCATATAACTTCCTAAGGGTGCGTTTTAGGGCACATGTTAATAGGAACTTTTTGGCTTATTATAATGAGTTATAAACGCAGCAGAAGTTTGGAACCCTATTTTAGAAACACCCTGTATACATACTTTTAAATAGTCGAGTAGTTGAATTTTATGGAAATAGTTCACCATTTTAAAAGTATCATATTTATTGAGGCCTCTAATAGAAAATGTCAAACTACTATGCTTGTATTTGATTTGCAAAAATAATTTTCTATTCTGTTGTCCGAGGGTTACATTATAACTCTATGGTTCACATGTTTACTTTAGTATTTACAATTTTTATAGAGTGATACCTTTTTCCATATTATTTAATTAAAAAAGTTATTGTTGAAAAATTAGTACTAACTATTTTTGTTTCAATCAAATTCATCAAGTTTAGAACAGTTTAGAAAAGAACAGAACAGACTAAACCGTTTAAGAATAAGTTTATGAAGTAATTCATGAAGAACTTTGTGAATAAATTTATGAATAAATTGTAATGTAAAATGACAAGATCACCAATCATTAAAAAAATCTTTCTCGTTCCAAGTTGATACCATTAACAGTTTAAGAAACACATTTAAATTTTTGGGGTAATTATAAAAAAAACACATTAGACATGGGATAACATAGCATAGCAGCTATTAATTTTTATGGATCACAAAAAATTCAGGTAGGCTTTGCTGCCCTCTCCTATGTCGAATATACCGCTTAACCTTAAAATTGACGTACTTTGCAGGATTTGAAAACAAAAGACTAAACTTTATATAGACCGATACAAATAATTTTGCGTCCGAGATAGTTCTGTCCACAAATGCGCTCTGTACAAGACAAAGGGAAGCTCCAGGTAGACACTACCCCAAATCGCCGCATCAGTCTTATTCCTTCTAGCCGAATGTATTTTTTCCCAATCTAGTCAGGTTCTACCCCGAGTCAAAAACGCCAACTTATTTGTGTCAGTCTGTACTTTTGTAAGCATTAAAATTTACCCAATCATTATTTAATTTATAAAAATTGTGTGATTTTATAACAATAATTTACTGGTATTTGAATGGAAAACATAGTGACAAAACAATGTTTTTTTTTGCAGAAACGGTTAAAGCATATTCCACACTTGTGGTATTTGTCGAACACCGTACAAAATTGTGTGTTGCTTTTTCACAAAAATTAAAAATTTATTGCTGGTACTCAACAAATACTGTATGTATGGTGTCCACTTAATGTTATCGACATGGAACAATATTTTACTTTGAAAAAATTTAAAACAAAATATTTATCTAAAAAAATTTACTTCAAATTTTTGTATTTCGTAATGTTGATTTTTGGAAAAAATATCATAGGAACTCGTACATTAATTTTATGAGTAGAAACAACAAAATTTTTTGTTTATATTTTCCAGCAATTTAACTATCACTACAGGGACGTTAGAGACATGAAAACGTGCTTAAAAGGATCATTATCAGTGACGAATCGTGGTTTTAGTTATGATCCCAAAACAAAACAACAGTCTTTACAGTGGAAGTTTCTCTCTGAGCCACGGCCAAAATACATGTCAAAATCGGAGCATTATGAAGTTGTGCACTATGAATATGCTCCAAGAGATCAGACGATCAACAAAGAATTTTACCTTGAAGTTCTGAAAAGATCTGTTATGAAGTGAGAAGAAAACAACCACATTTTCAGACAAGCGCAACTGCTTCATCACCAGGATAACGCACCAGCACATTCATCAAACCTTGTGCAACAGTTTTTGACAAAACACAAGTTACACAACTTTGCCAGTCTCCGTACAGTCCCAACGTAGCCTCTTGCGACTTTTGACTCAAAGGGCACCGGTTCTACGACACAGAGACAAATTCTGAAAACTGACTTCCAGAACTGGTTCAGGATATGGAAGTACGGATAGGGGCCTGTTGTTCAGTGGAATGGGAATTATTTCAAAGAATGTCCTGAACTGGAAGACGAAGAATAATGCAAGCGTGGAGTTATGAACGTAGGTTGGACACAGCTTGTATACAGGGTGTAACTTTAAGTGGGGGTCAGTTTTTTTATGGGCAATAGTACGTGCTTCCCTGAATATGAATCTGAACTTTTATTTTACTCAAATAAAAAGTCGAGTTATAATTAGTTTTTTAAACTGCACTTTAATTATTATTATGTACGCCGCCACAGAGTAAACCAGCACTCCCGGAATTTAATGTATGAAGTTGTATCCTTCACTGCCGGCGTTGCCAGTTGCTTTATACCAACTACATTGAGCGAAGTTAAAAAAAATTTAGCAAATCAGATTGTTTTTGTATAATTTACAACTTGTTATTTTAAAGCCACATTTTTTTGATATCATTGTAAACTTGTAAAAAAATAAAGATTTACAAGATTTATTAAATATTAACTAATATTGGTACGTAGATACGTTACTAATTGTAAATAAAACTTATTTGTGTTGTAAAATAATTTATTTTTGCCGTTTTAAAGAACTAACAATAAAAAATAAATGAAAATACTAATCTGATTAATATGAAAAAATTTTTTAATCCTTTCAAGTTTTTATAAACATTTATATGTTACTTACTGTTTTTTAAGCAGCGCATATTTTACTTTTGAATATCAGTGTTAATAACCTATAACAAGGGTCGGCAACTGGCGGACCGCGGTCCTGGTCCGGACCGCGGAAGGTAAAATACTGGACCGCCTAAAATTTTTTTAAAGTATAAATTGCCCAAATAAATTAATTAAAAAATGTTTTTTACGATTAAGTGCCAATCTTATCATTTTTTCTAGTATTTTACAATTGTGTGTGTTTTGAGTTCTTAATGGTAAAATAAAAAATAAGAAATGTGAATTTTTTTTCTGGACCTCGTTAAAAATTTTCAAAAGTATCCGGACCCCACCTAAAATTACTTGCCGACCCCTGACCTATAACATTGACCTAGTTTTACGTTACATACAAGTATGTAAGAAATACGCTTACGAAGGGATTGCAGGTGTTCCAATATGATGAGTAAATGTGTTAAATACACTCTGCCACATCAATTTGGCGGAATGGGATTGGCCAAATATATCTTCTCTTACATTCCTGTTTAGTATTCGATTGTATTGTTTTGTGAAAAGCTGTTCGTATAATACCTTTGTGTGGTGTAAGTGTATAACCTAAGCCTATAAAGGTATTTATATCAGTGATTAGTGACGGTACAGTGTATTGTCTTTTCTTTTTCAAGTTTTAAGCGATATTATGAAAAAGCATCAAGAAAGAGCTGATATGATTAGAGCCTACTTTCTGTCCGAAGATTCTACTACAAGACAATATCAGGTGGATTATCCCAGAGCGGTACCTCACAGCGGGTGATGTGAAGTGAAATTTGCTTTTTAATAATATTTTCTTTAAATTATGAGATTTGGCAATGATGCATAGCCCAGTTGTCAATTGTGCAAGCGCTGTGACTAACACGTGCCGTTGTTTGAGGTCACACTAGTTTGTCAAGAGGTGGGCTAGGAAAATTATTAAAAAAAAGTTTTATGACGGAATTTGAAAAAATAAACTATTGACACGCGTTTCTAAAGGTCAAAGGTGGCGCCTCTGTGTAAATATGCCCCCACTTAAAGTTACACCCTGTATTAATAAAAGTGATAAGAACTGTGACAATTTTATTATCGAAATCGTATGTGTGAGTGCTTCCTAAGCCAACTTAAAAACTGAAGCCGGATTGAAAAGATTTATAAACATTTATTTTACTAATTAAATGATTTAAATCAGTTTCTTATCACCTATTCTTGACGACACAATTGTAAACGAATTTATATTTAATATCATGCACAAAAAATATAGAAAATTAATCTAACCTTGGCTTGCAGGCACGCCTGTACTCCTATCTGTGTTTCGTACGTAATGAATCCGTAATTTGGTGGAGCCCTTGCACCTGGTGGACCTCCTACTTTATTAGGTGGTTTACTATGTACTCTCAAATCTATGATAGCTCCGAATTCACTGAATATCTCCCGAAGTTCTTCCTCAGTGGCAGTATGCGGTAAGTTGCCCAGAAACAGTTGATTTACGTCATTGAAGCTCATGCTTTGCGAACGTCTTCTGTCATCTGTGATGTATGTAAAAAAAAAACAAATTAGTTTTAAGAATCACCAAAATAAAAAAAAACCAATTATGAAATATACAGCATTTACTTTATCCCTTAATGAATGCAGTTTTCGCTTTGCATTATTGATTTCATATAATTTATAAAAGTAATATAAGTTTGCACACTTACAATTCTTGAATGTGATAAAATGTAGGGCGTTATATTATTTCACTAATAAAGAAAGGACCCCGCACAAACCTTATGGAAAATGGCTTTCGGTCAAAATGGCTGAAATTGAAATATGATATAGCTCTCACTTTCCTGAGCAAAAGTTGTCATGGGCCCAAAGCGATCCTATGAGTAGGTTTAAAGATATAGAGCTTTGAAGCTAACGATTTCATAGCAAGGTGCTCAATATAAGTGCAGGATAGGTGTATGTATATCTCCCTTTCTATACATGGTGAGTCAATCTCAATTGAAGACCAAATAGACAAGGCGAAATCGGCGGCTTCGTATGAAAAAATTAGTGGATTCGATTTTTTTGCATAATCACCTCCGTGAGATGTCCCTGAATGAGGATCAAAATGTTACCGGCTGGTAACCTGCTCACAATTTTTTTAAACTAATTTTTTTTAAACAAATCCCAAAAATAACTTGTTTTGCCCCGGAAAAAGTTTTATTAGGTATTTCGGGGTATTCTAAACAAAATAGTTCCTATGCACTATGCTCCTAAAATCAACGGTTTCTGAGTTATAAACAATTTAATGTACGAAAAAGTGCAAAAACGGCCATTTTCCAGACTCAAAAACAATATAAAAAAATCAAGTTTTTGATGTTACTAAAGTTTAAAAGTAATCTTTAAACATCCCTTGACAAAATACCGAGGAGTTATTTGGTATAATTACATTGCAATGCGTATTATTTTACCTATTAACAATATACATTTTGCTTGTGCGCCGCGCCGCTCGAGCACTCCACTCTGCGCCGACCTCGTGTATATATATTCATCACCTCACTTTTTGATACATTTTAGCAATGCTGAATTTTTATTTATTAAAATTATTTTTTGTTTATTGATATTATAAATTTCTAAACAGTAACAATAATAATAATAACAATAATAATATATCTACTTTACTTAAATAATATCTAATTTTGAATTTGCGAATATCACAATGAAATTCCCGCACCGCTATAGGTTAAATATTTTTTCTCGAACGTGTGGAATGGGTATAAACTTAGGAAATATTCCATGTACTTCTGATGTCTTTAAACTACATGTATTAAGAGCATAATTGCAAACGTATATTTGGAAAAATTCAATATACTCTAAATACCAAACGTTGAATATCGAAAATTTCGGTTACAAACTAGATGAAAATGGTGCAGTATTACCCATATTTATGTTTAATAATACCTGATCGATTGATGTAAATGTTTGAAAACATGTAAAACTAAAGCATGTAGTTGTAGAAAAAATAATGTTACTTGTGTTATTTATGTGGTTGTAATGCAGACGAATATGAAAATTGTATCCTTAAATAAATATATTTATAAGTTTAAGACATTTTACTCTTTATTTTTTATTTATTTTAAAATATATGTCGAGATATATGAAAAAGTGAGGCGCTGACGGGGTCGGCGCACAGTGGAGTGCCCGAGCGGCGCGGCTCGCAAGTCAAAATGTATATTGTTTAATAGGTAAAATAATAGGGATTGCAATGTAATTACACCAAATCACTCCTCCGTATTTTGTAAAGGTATGTTTAAAGATTACTTTTAAATTTTAGTAACATCAAAAACTTGATTTTTTGTTATTGTTTTTGAGTCTTGAAAATGACCGTTTTTGAATTTTTTCGTACCTTAAATTGTTTATAACTCGGAAACCGTTGATTTTAGGGGCATAGTGCATAGGAACTATTTTGTTTAGAATACCCCAAAATACCTAAATAAACTTTTTCCGGACCAAAACAAGTTATTTTTGCAATTTATTTTAAAAAAATTAGTTTAAAAAAATTGTGACCAGGTTACCGGCCGGTAACATTTTGATCCTCATTCAGAGACATCTCACGGAGGTGATTATGCAAAAAAATCGAATCCACTAATTTTTTCATACGAAGCCGCCGATTTCGCCTTGTCTAAAAGGGCTATGCAATATGTACCAGGTTCGGTCGGTACACAGCAACTCAGCATTGAAATTTTTGAAAAACTTGTACCCATACCCATATACAGGTCTGGTCGAACTAAACGTGGAGGTGGTAGAAATGTATACGCCCAGGTGAAGAATGAGCGCGCGGGCAAACGGCGCACAAACACAGCCGCACTGGGTGACCGACCATAAATTTCAGTTGTTGACAAATCGCCTAGCAGTGCAGAGCAGCAATGCAGAATTATTTTATTGTTTATTTTTATTTAATAACTTTTCTAACCAAAACTAACAACCTTTCCCCATCCTTTCCTGGCAAGGATATGTCCATACCTTCCCGTTAGTTCTTGTCAAACAGTAATATATTTTAATGAAAATGTAAATGTTTTTTCATATGTCATAACCAAAATTTACCATCAATATACTCGTAATAAAATTGTTTGAGGACATAAATAATTAAAATATGTTGTTGGTCAAATAAATATACTAGAAATTTTCTACACATTATATTCAAATTATTATTATTTTTTACCTTTAGCAGAAAACATTTGTAGGGACGTCTATGAAACTCATTAAATTTTATTGCTAGGCGTTTTATACAAGTTCAACTGATTTCGGAAAGACTATAATTTCGATTTTTGTGCAATTTGATCGTGACATTCCTTCCTTTATCCCAACGTCAAATTCTGAAGGTTATTTCTTAGCATTTTCTAAGAGAAATTTTCTCTAAGCTCACAAGTGCAAAGTTGAAGGTTTGTGGTTCGAATCACAAACGGGTCACTTTTTTTTTGGAAAATGTTATTACAAACTTTTACATACAAGTTGTTTGAAAAACTAAGGTACACGGTGTTTCAAAAAATATTATATTTACCAGTCAGTGGGGAGAGCACCACCGCAGGTACACGCCAAAGGCCAAGTCGGCGAATGCCAACTTCTTTCTAGTTAAATTTCTAGTTAAATTTTTATTTTCTATTATTTCTAACTTTCTAGTTAAATTTAAAACATTCGATATTTATCTCACTATAAAAAGACTTACCTCCAATATTCTCAACAAGTAATATTTAATCAAATATGGTAACCATATTAAACTCTATATTCTATTACAGGCTTCATACGGAATTGACGAATAATTGTAGTGTTTGATTGGGATTTTTACTTTTACTGAAATACCTGTCTTAATGTTAAATTACATTATAACGAGGTAGACTTACCAAACATGCCGTCCTCATTGATAGAATTCCTTCCAGGAACGCCCCTTCCAGCATCAGGTCTGGAACCTGGTATACGTGGTTGCTGCTGATTCACCCTAGGAGCATTACGATTGTTTATGTTGTTGTTATTGCGCACTCCAATTCCCTGATTCATGTTAGCAGCTGGAGGTGACAAGGACCTGATTGGTTGAGTCACTGGCATAGAAGTGACCTGAGAAGGGGCGCTAGTGCTGTATGGAATTGTACTACCCGACTTCAGAAGGTTGGCGTATGTTTTAGGTTCATTAGATGCTGTAAAATAAAAATATCCGATAAAACTATTGTATTATAGCCTATTTGTGTTAGACATGATTTCCCATTTTTCTTTAAATTTTAATATGTAATTTACTGTAGCAAGCATACAATGTAGGCAAAAAAGCATTGCCTACTCTAGTAATATCACAAAAATTTATTAAATTTACATTAATTTTTAATCTTAATTTTTTTATTTTTTATTTTTTTAAATCAATATTCCCAATGTAGGTTTCAGCGTAGGTGGCAACAGCAATTTCAATGATAGCCTTTGAGAATCAAAGGCAGCATCTACATATATCGACATACGGAATTACAAGCTAAAAGCATGACAGCGCTGTGTTCTAGGAGATAGAGCGATAGATATGCGTCGAAGCAGAGTTGCCAGATGTGGCAATTTATCGCCATTATGGGGACACAACATACTCGGAGGAAAATTTCATATGGCACTCCCAATTTTTCAGCGATTTTTAATATAATTGTGGCACCTAGCTGTCTGACTTTTAGTCAATTTTATAGATGATGGTAGTAATTTTATTTGTATCTATGGTGTCACTTGTTTTTCCATTATATGGCAATAAAATAATATTTCCCAAAATATTTCATTTTTAAATATTCTCTCAGAATATATAACAATATTTTAACAATTTTATTCTATTTCAAACAGATGGCAATTTTTTTTTATTGTATTTCTATCTAATGGCGATGAAAGATAAAATTTCTCCTTGCATCAAAATACGGAATTTTATCAGTTATCACACGATTGCATAAAGTTTTATTATTTTACAGATTTGTACAAAAAGTTTTACCTTAACGTAATTGTAATAGTCTTACGTGATGTGTTTTAACTTGATAGTGACTTTTATCTTTAAATTTAAATAAAAATGCAGTAGGAATGTGACGATGGTGAAAATTGTTTACAACAGCTAAAAGCAATTCCATTTAGCTCCAATACATTTGAAAACAACATCCTGCAGCACCTTCTTAAAATTGTGCAAAAAAAACTGTTATAGATATTTTAACAATACAGTGGTGGCTCGCCAGGTGACGCAAGTGACGCACCGCTTCACCTAAAATTTCCATTTGGTTGTGCAAGTTAAAATTATTTTAAATTTTATATAAATTTTATAATTTATATTGAAAAATGTATTGTATCTGTTTAATACGACAAAATAAACAAACCAGTTGCGCGGTGAACGACTTCTAAAGAAACATTGCCTTCGTTAAGCGCGAACATCAACCTCGTAGGTACCGTACAATGTATAGTATAAGCAAGTGATATGGATCGAAATCAGTGTGTATTCTGCTTCGCTTCATAGCGTTGTTTACGGTGGTTGTCATGGCAACGAGGCAGCCAACACGGGAGTAAACTACGGCATGGGGGAACGAGTGACGCCGAAATTGAAGCAACGTCGTCCATAGCCTTTAAATAGTTTATATGATATTGGTCGCCCAATGCACGATTATAACGATTCTTTGTTAATATTTGTTTTGTATAATAATTGTAGAAATATTTCCTATGTATGATCCAGTATCTATTTTATTGGAAATGCCATTTTCCAGATGGAAAATTGAGGACAAAATGGATTTTTTAAATTGCGAGAGACCTGTGCCGTATTCTCTTGATATGGAAAAAAGAGGGTCAAAAAAAAAAACCATGTGTACGTTCGGAACTTTCAGAATGAATGGTATTCGGAGTATAAGTGGTTATGTGGAAGTGTTCATTTAAAAAACTTTTATGTATGCCGTATTTAATTGTGGGTTTAAAGTCGGACGTGTGGAATAAGGAAGGATTTAACAATTTTGGGAGTCACGCGAGGCTCTCGTTACATGTACGGTGTGCGTTAATGTTCGCAGAATTCCACAAGCCGAACTAATATTTCTATTTTTTATAAAATCTGAATGAAAATCCTTCTTGTGAACGTCAGTTTTTCGGTAATATTGCAAATGCAACTCAAAATTTCCAGATTCATTTAAAGCCGTTTGATCTTGAAAATTTTCGTCTGCGGCACCTTTTTCCTTTTTACTCTATCAATGAATATGCTTCACCTATTCTCAATGTCACAAGCCGCCCCTGTAGCAATAGGATTTACAACAATCACAAGTTGCAAGCATATTAATAAAATGTTTTGCTGGTCAAGTTTGTTATTTTCAAATGAGAAGAACTTATAGACCAATATCGGTTATGCAGAAGTAATAATTTAAGAAATACGGTAAAAAAAACATGATCGGTCCACAGAGCTGGGTAATTCCTGGTGAAAAAGTAATTAGTAATTACAATTCCCACTTTTTTTCCTGTAATTGTAATTGTATTTAAGTACTTTTTTTTATTAAAGTAATTTGGAATTGTAATTACAGCAAAATTGTTGTAGGAATTGTAATTTGTAATTATATTATTTGAACTATCGAATTACAAATTACTTCTATAAGTACAAATACTTTTTCCAATTACAATTACTTTTTCTAATAATTATAATTACTTTTAAAATCATGCGTATTGCGTAATTGCGTACAGGCTTGCAGACTTCCATTATTTCATTTGAGGAAAGCCTTGTGCCGCGTAAACAATAAAAGGTGATTTGGTGAATTAACAGAGTACATTTTATTTTATTATAATTATTATTAATTTAGAAAATATACGAAGTAAAAATATGTTGTCTATAGCATCAAGTTTTATAAAAATATATATTATGTATCTATGTGTTACTGCTCTTATTTTGTGTTGAGAAAACTTCTGGTTCGATTACTCAGCCTTTCACTCGTACTTGTTCGATTCGTAATTTTTTTAATAATAATTATTGCTTTCCAGTCAACCCAAAACTGCTGTATTCTATATTTTGCAAATGTACTAACAACCAAAAAAAGAGCATCGGGTTGAATTAATTACCTGACCAATAATATAAAATTGAACTGAACTAGTTTAAATTATTAAATTAGGAATAAAAATATAAAAATTCTATATTAGAAAATGAATAAGAATAATCTTTTCATTTTAGTATCAATTCTAATAAATAATGAAACGCAATATTACACAACACTTTTAATTTAAATTTTTAACTTAACTTTTTCCTTTTTCTCTGTTTGGTCACTATAATTTACTTTATCATAAAAGTAATTAGAAAAGTAATTGCTAAATCCATTTTTCATGTAACTGTAATTAAATTAATATAATTCCTTTTTTAAAGAATATACTTTGTAATTGTAATTAGTTCCTTTTTTTTTAAAGTAATTTGTAACTATTTTTAAATTACAAGTAATTACCCAGCTCTGTCGGTCCAAAAATCATTTGAAATATGCCCTTTCTTTTATACAGCTTTGGGCTAAATCGAGTTGTTCATTTAGAGAAGAAATAGAATCACATCATTTTAAAGTAGATAGAAATCTTAATATAATCAGATTCATCGATATAACTTGATTTTTGGGGAATAGGGGCAATTTTATAAAATACATGCAACTTTTAGCCAATTATGATTAGTGAAAAACTGCCATATTGTATATAATTTATAAAAAATAGTTGTTGTTAGCTTTGCAATCACATTTTCAATAGGCTTTCAATTAAATTTTTTATGACTGAAATGAAACTAGTAGCCAGTGTTCATTAAAAAATCCTTGCAATAATTTTATAATAGGCAAGTACATGTACCTATTATTTTTTTATTTCACTTTTAATCAAACTTTTACTATTGCCAACCTCACTTGCAAGGCCACCGCACGCCACTGGTAATTTGTCAATTTTATATTATACAAAACAAGGACAAAAAGTATTTAATTGCATTAATTATGTGGGGACTATCTAATACATAATCGGGATCATGGCTCTGCTGCGCACCACATTTCTAACCACAATATATCACAACTGGACCGCATTCTAGTTATTGAAAAACAAAAAAACTCGTTTTAATTCTACTCGATACTAACACTGACAAATATTCATAAATACTATTAATATTCACAAGTGTACTAATATTTACCGAAGCAGTCTTACATTAGAGAAGGGACTTTCGTTCTACAATTGCATAAACATTTGTGAATTCTACAAATATTGGATAATAAAATCTGTCACACGTACAGCTTAAGTGTTGATTATTTTGCAAACAAAGCTAGAGGATTCGGATCGTTTAATGTGTGTTGATTTAACCTCAACATGGTGTTTAACAAAATACATTGAATGTTTAGTTAATTTTATCGAAATCGGAAGCGTCAGTTATAGAGAATAATTTCAAGTCAACCACAAACAGTAAAAACTTACAATGGGAATGAATTTACAATTACGCTTGGTACTACCAATTAAAAAATATGTTAAAATCTGGGCGAGTTTGTTGGATACAAACCTTTACCTCACAATTATACCATTAAAAAGATTAGACAAAACTGTTACAAATACAAAAAAAAGATAATTATAAAAAATATTTAGTTGCTTTTGTATGGTTTAGGCAAACCAGACAGTCATATTGACCAATTACAATAACCATACATAAAATGAATGTCAATATTACAGAATGTATACTTTTTTCAACAATTATTTAACATGGCATCATTGAATGTACCTTTATGTTTCAGTTAAATAATTATGATTTTATAGTTTTACCTGATTCAATTGGTAGTTCTGCTTCAGGTTCAGATTCTTGAGGTTCATTGTAATTGCTTTCCAACGGCTCCTCCACTGGTTCCTCAACTACCTGGGGCTCCTGTTCTTCAACCGGAGCTGGTGGATTTATTGGTGGCTGAACTAATCCTTGTTGCAAATTCGGTAATGGTGCTCCAAGTCCTTGAGTTTGGGCTGTCGGTACATGGGTTGGTACTTGTCCTAAAATTACTGTTCAGTTTTTAAACATGTTATAGAAAATATGGAAAGGAGCTTTTTCATAACCACGATTCTTTGAGTGGAAATAATAGGACTATATCTAAGCTATTTTTCATTTATGTGCTTATTTTTTAAAATAAGGAGTGGTAAGGGATAAAACCACTGCAAAATACTTTCAACCTTTTAGAATATGAGGCAAAAAGTTTTGTATGTGAAAAAATTTTTTTCTGTCGCGCTCTTCCCCAAGCGCGTCGGACGTCTCTGATACGACTATCTGCGTCAAATAAATACCTGATCAGAAGATACAGCGTAATGTCTTACCTATTGATTTCTAACTTATTGTATTCACTAACAGATGGCGTTAAATAGTATGTATATTCAGTTAGAAGCATTTTTAAGCAAAAGTACCTTAGTGTAGTGTCAGTACACATTCAAGGATATAATTTCTTCACTCATCATATTTTTTGTGTGTAGTGCTGATTTTAAACTATTTATTTTGAAACTCAAAGTAACGAGCGTTCAAATAAAAACGTGGTCGAAGTTGGCTCTGACACATTGAACGTAGGGAGTAGCTTATAGCGACCAACTTAACCTCATTTCTCAACGAGCTGTATAGCAGCTGTCAGTTTCAATAACTATATAACTTTATTTTAAAGAATAATCGTGATAACAATAACAAACAATTAAAGGAGCTGCGGAAAGTGTCCCCCTTCTTGTTATAACAATAAATTAAAGCAGCTGCTGAAAGTGTCCCCCTCCTTGTTCCAAGCACTTTTCACACCTGTTCCTCAAAGAATTAAAGACATTTTCTAAGATGCTCGGGGTATTGTTAATTTCACGAATCTTGTCTATAAGTCGAGCCTGCAGATGGTTTAAATCAGGAATAGGCAGTTCAAAAATAGTGTTTTTAAGGTAAGGCCACAAAAAGAAATCACACGGCGTAATATCACATGACCTCGGTGGAAATTCATGTTCAGCATTGAGACTTATTAGTCGATTTTGGAAAACTTCCCTCAACATATTCATCGTCTCGCCTGCCGTATGTGCCCTTGCGCCATCTTGTTGAAAGTAAAAGTTTGTAATTTCGTTTTCTTCCAGCTGGTTAACAAAAGGAGCGATAATTTCTTCTCTATACTTTTGCGCAGTAAGAGTACCATAAATAAAAATAGGTCCATAAATCCTCCTTCGATTGAGAGCACACCAAACTCCAATTTTTTGAGCGTGTAGAGGGCCCTCGACAAAAAAGTTATCTGGTTTTTCAGAAGACCACATTCTCATATTCTGTGAGTTTACGTAACCACTTAAATGAAACCAGGCTTCATCAGAAAAAAAGGTGATATTATGAAGTTCACCCTAGTTGTTTAAAAACCATTCACAAAATACAGCCCGTCGCGGAAAATCAACTTCATGAAGTTCTTGCTGACAAGTTAAACGATAGGAGAACAAACGCAAATCTTTTTTTAACACTGTGTGGCAGGTACCGACTGATACTCCCACCATTTGTGATAAAACACGTACAGAAGTTCTTGGCGCATTTTCCATTATTTGTTGGACATTTTCTTTTAATTCTTCAGTCCGCTTTTTAGGTCGGCCGCTGCCTTCTTTTCTTGTTACACTGCCCGTTTCACGAAAAACATTAACACAACGCTGAACTGCACTTTGAAAAATTTTGTACTCAACAACGCCAGGAAATAGATTTTGAAATTCTATGAAACATTCCTCAATAGAATAATTAAGTTCATTTGCTATACGCTACGCCCTACGTCCAAATTTTCAGAACCAACTTGACTACGTTTTTATTTGAACGCTCGTTACAATGAGTGACGAAATACTTGGGCAGAAAACGTAAGAAAAAATATTACCTAATGTGGCGGCGAAGCAACGTTGCAATCCATTTATACAAAAATACAGATTTTCACAAGAACGATTTTTGAAATTGATACCTTTTTGAAATATCTATTCACGAATTACCTACTGACAGTATAAATAAATTGGAATAAACTAAATATATTTTATTAAATTATTGAATATTGTTTATGAACAAAAAAATCGCTTGTGAAATTTACCAACGATTCAACGAATTTTAATTTTCCTCGCCGTGTTATGATTTTTTCTTTATCTTTTTTTATATATATGTACATTATATTATATTCCGGGAGTTATACGTGCAAATCCGAAATCCGGGACTATACAGCTAATTCCCGGTACAATCACAGAAAATCCCGGTCATACCCATGTGGCTAGATGTTCTAATTAATGATGTAACGAATATCAGCATTCGCATTCACGAATATTCGTTTGATTTATGATATTCGCATTCGCATTCGCAAATATCTTTGAATATTTTGCGAATATGAATGTGAAAGAAAAATACAGAATGTGAAAACAATATTAGGTTCGTTCAGCATCGCAAATCGTAAAATAATCCATATTTCACTAGAAGTTGATTTACTCATGTTAAGAAATAACTAACAACAATCTAACCTCACAATTCACAAACTCATCTGAGCCGGTAGCGAAAACAAAACAAAATTCCAATCATACAAAAATACCGTTCTACCAACTTAACAACGCTAATTTCTTTAGCCTCTAGCGCCGCTGTCACCGAAAATATTATGTGCGTAGTGCGCGGCATATTTTGAATCATAGATAAACGGCGCTAGATTTAAAAACTGAATATTCGTATTCGCATTCGCATTCGCGAATGTCAACAACAGATGTTCGCATTCGCATTCGCATTCGCGAATGCTTAAAAACTGGCATTCGTTACATCACTAGTTCTAATATGTCGTCAAGATCTGCACTAAAATTTATGAGTCCACGAAACACATCAGGGTTGTCCAAATTTTCTGTCTCGTCATGTCCGCGAAGTGCTAATTCGAAATCTCCGTAAAATTTTATGGAATCTATGATTTTAGATAATACATAACGATTTTTCGTTACCTGTTCATTGTGTTTCCATATATTACCCCAATATGCAGAATCTAACTGACTTCTTATGTTTATTTTACCTAATGACTTAAATTACTTAAATCTTTCACACTGTATATTGTCGATGCTTTATCCCCACCGAAAAGTAAGCACGGAGAACAAAACAGTGTATTTTTTAAATCACACCCACACACACACTCTACTTTTGTGTATACATTATTGTCAAATTGTCTTTTATAACTTTTACTTTGGCTTGTTCCACTAACTTCAATATTTAATTGTGGTGTTGGCCCACCTAATTCTTTTATTTTTAGTTTATCCTCATAAGGCAGAGAACCAAATAGTTTTTTTTTAAACGAAATGCTATTCATTTTAATAACTATAATATCCGTAAACGCCTAAACGAAAATATTCACACGTGCCACTCGCAGAAATAAACTACCACGTACGAAATATTATTGCATTTACTGCAGCAGTGGCGGTCGTTGTTGCAGCCACAAAAGCCCATATAAAAATGTTCTGGGTCACGTGCCTGATTAGCCAATAAAAACAAAGGACGCATCTAATTGTTCGCTGTGCACACATTTTGTATATGAGGTTCCATATATTAAGGAGCGTAGCTCGCGTCGTAATAAATAATAATATAAGCTCCTAGATTTATTTTAGCGCGAGTACATTTGGATTCTTTAAATATTTAGTTGATATTTAATAAGATGAAATACATAAAATTTTATGTGTTCTGCAGCTCCACAGATCTTATGGTAAAACCACCACTGGATTCGAAGCCAAGTGATTTGAATGGATTCAGTGCTTCTGCTAAGAAATTAAAAGTTTCTGATGATTTCGATATTAATTATGAATTCGGGTATAGACATACATCTGAAGTGTAAAAGGTGCGAATCTGTCATAACCTTTCACAAAAGAAATTATTGGATCTTAGGCTTCAAAATGGTAATCGTTTGCCCAAAATGCTCAGAAGTTGCAATTCTAAGAAATAAATTTATAAGGAATGCATATGAAATTAATCGTCGAATAATGGTAGCAATAATAGTTTTGTGTATTCATGGAATTGTCACAACCGATATTTAAATCTTTTTATGACAGTTTGGTGGATATGATTTCAATTGCAACAGTATGTAATGCTTGTAGGAAGAAAGCAGAGCAAGAGAAAAATAAAAGTGAAGAAAATGGACAATTGGAAGAGATAACTATTTCTGGTGATGGTTTGTGGAGGAAACGCAGATTTTAGTTACTTTTTGAAGTTATGTCATTAATTGGATGGTTTACAGGCAAAATCTTCAATGTTAAAGTGAAATCATAGCACTGTAATTCTTGTGAGCACTGGATGAGTAAAATAGAAACACAGCTTAGTATGAAGTTATATACAATACATAGGGATAAATGTCAATCAAACCATGAAAGCTCATCTGGTAAGATGGATGTAGACGTTGTCATGGAGATGTTCACATGCTCCGAAACTTTGCACGGGTTCAAATATGCAAATTATATCGGTGATGATAACAGCAGATCCTTCAAGGACATAATGGATAACAATTCGCATGAAAATTTTGGAGTGCAAAGGAAAGAGTGTATTAATCATAAACAAAAGAGAATGTGCATTCGATTGAGAAATATTTTAAAAAAGTGAAAGGTCTCGGAAGAAAAGGTAAATTAACTGTAAAATTAATTAATAAATTGTCACAATTTATTATGACAATAAGTTGGAATCCAAAATTCCTGGAAAATATGAAAGATAAAATCTGGAGAAACTATCAAATGACAAAATTCCGCAGCATGAGAAGTGCTCAGTCTTGGTGTGACGCAAGCAGCGATTGCCTTGGACACCTTCCATCATAAGCTGCCACTTTCTAAGGAAGTTTTTGAAGCCATCAAACTGATTTATAAGGCACTGAGCCACGACGAGTTACTAAATAGTTGCTTGGGATGCTACACACAAAATATCAACTGAAGTTTTAATGTCACTATTTGAAATTTTGCAAATCTTATTTGAGTGGCAAAAAAAGTCTTGGATATAGCGACCAATATTGCTGTATGCAATTTTAACAATGGTCTGACTAATATTTTAAGAATTATGGAGGTTCTGGAGATGGATATTTGCATCCAATCATATCATTTTTGCCTGGAAACTGATATTAAGCGCATCAAGCATACCGAATGGGTTTTTAACAGATATGGCAAAAGAAGCGTGCTCTATCATAAAATGAGGAATATTTGAACGTGGAAGGGCAGCTTTATGGTCTTGGGATAACAGATTAATGGTAACAAGTTTTTAAACAGTCTAATTTCTTATTTTTCATATCTATCTCATTTCAAAACTTTAAATGCGTTTTTCTTGAAACCCGATTTTTCAAAACGGAACGCAGCATAACTCCAACAATATTGTATATTTTCATTTGAAAATTTCACCACATCTCTAAAAACATTTTTTATAACAAATGATTGCCCTTTACTGAGACGAAAATCGAAGGTTTTACTTTAAATATTCATCAATGACACAACTCAATATTTTTAAAATTGCATACATATTTCATTAACTATAACCATGTAGATTAAGAGAATATTTTTTATTTTGTTCAAATTTGCACCCGCTACACTGTGTACCATGGACAGCCTCAAATTCAACATTTCTCGGCAGAATGGCTCTGGCACCACCATTTTGCAATATTTATCAATGATAATTCTTTTTTATACTTCAACATATGCCTAATAACATCCTTGAATAATATTTTAATGATCCAAAAGTCAAAAAAATGCTTTTTTCGGTTGTTACAGTGGCGTTACCCCTACAGTTATAACATTCTTGAACAAAAAAAAAACTATTGTACATAAGTTAGTTAAATTAATATTTATCTGTTTTAGTGAATTATGTGTAAAAGTAGCTACATGGAATTAATTTGTGTCAACCACATATACCTGGTAATACGTTAATATCATCTGGATGAACAGCTCCATTAACAGTAGGTACTGGCTGAGGGTTCAAAACATGGGGTGGTGGTGGTTGTTGATTATGATGAAGTGGGACCTGTGGAATGTTGGCTTGAATTGGAGCAGCATTAGGATTGTAATACTGCGGAATAGCTGGTTGATTAATGGGTTGTTGCACATCCGATAAAACCTGCCTGTCTGGGGTCACATCTTCTTCGGTCTCTGAATGGACACCATCATCGCATTCCTCATCAGATATGATTTCATCTTGATACCGAAAAATGTCATTATGGACGTAGTATTTCTTTGGCGACTGAGCAGCCAATACAAAAGTTTGGGTAAAACGACGCATCGGTTGACCAGCATTAGATAATTCTCCAGTTACCTGCACCACCACACCATTTCCGAGAGTAGCTTGAGAGTCGACCTGAGTAATTTTAGCATGACAGTCGCGGAAGTTCAACTGTTGAATTTTTTGATGAATTTGTTTCTGGCCTACAACGGGGCTGGTTTCACGGTTTGGAGGATCCAAACCACCATGAATAAAAGAAGATTGATGATTGTAGAATCTGAAATAATATTTATTAAGTGATAAAAAATAAATAAACAAACAGTTGAGGAAAGTGCTAAAAATTGTGTTACATCAATATTTAAAATACAATGGAACATTGCTGAATTACATTATCTAAAGTACGGTTTATCAGTCGCCCATTATCGGAACTTTGTACTATCTAAGTTATGTTATACAATAGTTTTCTCACTATAGATTTGCGATTCCTGTTCATGCATGGAAAGGAATTGTTATGTCAATTGAAGAAAATTTCAATCAAACCTGATTAATACTAAAAGTTCAACAAAACATAATTTACACAGTAAAGTTAGAAAAGTGTGCCACTTTGTGTGAAAAAGTTTACTGCAGTCAGGTTGAATTTATCATTGGAAAAAAGTACTATTGTGTATGGTAACTATGTGTATTGTAGAGAAATTTTTCAGTGATTTGCCATTGACTGAAAAATTAGAGAGAGCTTTAAAAATCTAATAGAAAATAATTAAATATGCAAACAAATTTATAAATATGACAAAAATAACATAAATCCTCCTCCTCCTTAGTCGAATATATCCCGTATGCTCTGTTGAGTACATTTCCCACCAGAAAATCTCTGCTTTATATCGACCAGGAAACAAAAGCAACTGGGACAGATGTGTTGCTTCTCAAACGTTGCAGATATCACAGCCAGAAAATGAAACTTAAGACAAATAACCTCCCCAATTAAATGCCAAAATTTATTGAAAATACATCATTCAGTGATATATTGGAAAGTACCGCTAATAAAAAAACTAATGACTCATGAAAAATTGAGTAAATTAATTTAATTTCTAATGTTATTTCTAACTTAGTTTATTTAAAAAATTTGTAGTTTTTGAGTAAATTATTTGCATAGTTGAATAAATTTAAAACATCTCTAAAGTATAGGCGTATTCTGTTCGAAATTACCAATACTGTGCAATCGTAGAGATAAATCATTGATATACAAATTTTTCTTATGAGTTGTCCCCATATTTAATTAATTTTTTTTTTTTAAATGGTAAACTCCATTACAAATCTACAATAAAAGCGAAATAAATGGATAATGTTTGCAGTTTGACATTTGAAATTTGGTACATATTTTAAGAGGTGATCTTATTAAAAAGTAATCAGAGCAAGTCTAGTATTTCTACTGGAAAAAATTATTTAAATATCTCAAAAAATAAAGATTGTATTTATGTTGTTTTTATTATTTTTTTTTTAATATAACGACAAATTCATATTTTTTTTAATCTTCCACTGCAATGTACATTTTAATAAATTGGCAATTCAATTATAATAGTGCAGCAAAAAATAAAAACTATTGGCTGTGTCTAAGAATTACAAAAAAGAAAAACAAAAAGAATACATATTTTCTGGCATCTATTTGAAAGAAATGGAAAAAGGAAATCATATTTTCGTACAAGTAATTTGGTTATTGTGTACCATATTTATTTGTAAATATTGTATTTAAAACAAAATGGTGTCTTGAACATTTACTAGAGAGCTAAATGGTCAACGTGTTTGGAAAAGTTGGTATAAAATTTAAGGGGGTTAAAGTAGAACCAAAAATAGTAAAAAAGTTCCTATAAATATTGGTCCTCCGGAGCACCATTATTGAGATATGGCCCTCCAAAAGGCTTATAAAAATAATTATTTCTGACTAAACTATGCAGAATTCGAAAAAAAAAGTACATTTTTTCTTCAAAAAAGCCAAATTCATTAAAAAATAATATAATTTGCTTGATAATTCAAAGGAATAAAAAAAATTTGAAAAATTTCTGTTTAGTAGTTACAAAACTATACTTATTTATAACCGATTTTGATGAAACTTATGGTAGTTAAAGACCCTTATGGTATAATTATTACCTACAATTTTCATTCCGTTATCTTAATCAGAAAAAAGTTATTTTAAAAAATATCCAAATGATAAGACCCCTTTGAAGGGCCATATCTCAGTAACGGTGCTCCGAAGGACCAATGTTTATAGGAACCTTTTTTACTATTTTTGGCTCTACTTTCACCCCCTTAAATTTTGTACCAACTTTTCCAAACACCCTGTATTTCTCTGTCTAAATTAATAGCAATAACTTTAAAATAGTTAAAGTATAAGAAATATGGAGAAACACAAAGGATTAATTAATAATGTGTAAATTGTAACAGAGTGCACGTTATAAGTTTACTATAAAGTTTGTAATTTCAAAAAGAAAAATATATGTATTTACATTATTCACATTATTTAAAAAATATTTGGAAACTGCACACTTGCATAAAACTTGAAATGTTGGTGAGGCCAATATGGTTAAAATTCTATGGTTGCTCTAGTCATTGTATACACAGTCAAATATAAAAATTGAAAATCTCTGCGATTAACTTTTGAAATGAAAATTCAAAATTTAATTGTGCATCATTCTGTAATTAGATCAACAAATCCTTTGAAATTCTTGAATATATTTTTAAAAATTAAAAAAATCTAAATTGAAACAATAAAATAAACTGAACTAATTCAAGTTTCTTGAAAATATACAAAAAACCAAAGATTACTTTCAAATTTAAAACTTCCCTTTTAGTTCTTTACTAATTTAACTAACCCATCAACATATAGAATGACATCACTGAACATTCATTGCATAAGAACTATAAAAAAATGTAACCCATCTGAAATTTATTATAACGATAGCAATTTGATATATCACATATTTTGTAATTTTTTTATTTTCAATCATTCCATGCAAAGCACAAAATGAGAAACTAAATATAATTGTTGATATTTATATATTAAAATATTTCTATAGTAGCTGTACAGACAAATACACAATCAATTCATGACTCATACATAGAATTCCAACATATGATTATTCAATAGAGTAAGATACTTGCTTGTGATTGAACCGAGTATTTTGTAGATTTACATTTGAGGGGGGCGTTTATATGTGCAACCTTAAGTCCACTATTTTAGGAAAATCTAAGTTAAAAACAATATCTCTTCACTGTACCAGTTATAATTGTTTTCTACAGGGTATAAGACAACTGACAATACATTCAAAACAAGGAAAAAAAAGAATATTTTTACCTCGTATGTCTGTTTTACATTTCCTGAATTTTGCACGCCTGTTGAAAATATAGAAAATCACATACAGTACTATAAACATAATCACACCCTGCAGAATGCTTTTAGGAAACTATCAGCACACATATTAATCACAATTATTGAGTATCTTTACAAATTTGTTGGATAAAACAGAAAAGGTACATTTTCTGATGTTTACATGTTATCCGTGATCTTTCAATGCGAAAAATTAAAGAAATCCTTGTATTTCAAAATTTTTATAGTTTAGATGTATTTTCTTGTTCTATTAATGTCTTACTAAAAGTGAAATTGTCCATAAAACGCCAGCCTTAAACAACTAGCCAATAAGTGCATAAAAACACATTATAATTCGTAAAAATAAAAAAATCAGGTCAAATTTTTGACATTATTTCATAATATGGCAATATCTAAAAAGGTGGCATACAGCATCCCATTGGTCCCAAATTTATAATTGTATACTCGTCAATACAGCACAGCGTCTTTCCCTCCCTTTAATATTATTTTGAGGAATTTCGATGAAAAAATGATAAAAAAAGTACCCTATTTAGTAAGTATTTTATAGTTCCGCATTTTATGTGGAATTTCACCGTTTTAGACTAATGATAAAGCTCTAATATATTAAAATTTACTATTTTCATTACCAGATATTAACAATCAATATATTCATTTACTAAATTAACGAAATTTCTATATTTAAAACATAAATATCTGTTATATGTAACTATAATAACTCAAACCCGTAGAACTGGAATCGAAAAGCATATGGTAAACTAGTGCTGACAAATAAATAGTTAATTATAATTCATATAAATTAATCAGATTATTAACCAAATTAGTAGTCACTAAAATTAACACATGGTAATTTTGGCATTTTGTCACAATGTGATGAAGAATATACAAGGTGCTCAGTTACTAATGAGCCAAATGTCACAAATAGGTTCTACTATAAAAACCAAGGAAGGTGGTTCAATAAAATTTTGTAGAAAAATGCTTTGTTCCTGAAACAATCTGAAACAATACTGAAGTGTGCGAAACCTACGTCTAAGTTAGTCATATTAGGGCGAGATCACTTTTTAAAAATTCTTGCGTAGTATAAAATGCGTTGGATAAGTGTTTTATTTTTCTTTTAAATAAAGTAGGGTTGAGATGACGTACTAGAGCTGGTAATGCATTAAAAAACTTAGTTCACGATTAAAAAATAATCTACTTTAATAACAGTTTTACATTGCAAATTTCTTTGTGAATTAATTCATGAAGTTGTTTCATGAAGAAGCTGGACAAGTGTAATACATCAAATCTGCTGTGAAATAACTTCATGAATTTATTCATGATGTTCTTCACAATCACAAATTAGAACATGTTCTAATTTTCATAAATTTCTTCATGAAGTTCGGAAGTACCTACCAACATATTGAAGTTAAGTTATTTGTTTACATATTTACTTCAGCATATTTTTATAGTCATATATGAACTGGTAAATTACGATTACAAGAAAATATATTCATTTTCAATTTGTCTTTATTTAGTATAACTTGCTTGCAAAGTAGCCGTTTTTGTTTCATAGAAATTCACGAAGTTTAAAACAATGCAAAACCACTTTATGAATAAATTCTCAATGTAAAACTGTTATAACTTTCAAAAGTACCACTAAAAATATTTTCAAAATAAAATTGACATCTCCAAAGGACCCCGCACAAATCTTATGGAAATTGGGTCCCGGTCAAATTCGCTGAATTTTTAATATGTGATAGAGTTCATCATACTAATCAATTGTCTCAATGGCCACAAAGCTCAAAAATGGATAGTTTGGCCGGTACAGAGCTTTAAAGCTCCGAATATCCTCCACGGATTTATGTATATGATGAAATAGCCTATTTCATTTTTTTTTATATCTAGGTTTATATTTTTGAGGTTGCTGAATTCAGATCTGTTGTTAGATTTTCAAAATTGACAGTTGGCAGCTGTCAAATAGCTGTCAATGTGCTATAATAAAGCCAAAAACTTGTTTTTTTATGTTTTATCTTTCTTTTTTTTTAGTTCGATAAGTTCAAAGACGATATCAAATCAATAACAATGACTATCGGCAGCTGTCATTTAGCTGTCAACAATTCTTCAAAGTCCGGTAATAAAGTCAAAAAATTATTTTTTGTTTATAACTTCAAGTTTTTTAGATAAGTGAATATAAATATGATATAAAATTATGTAGTCATCAGCTTACAGCTGTCAACAAGCTGTCAACTAACTGTCAAAATGCAATAATAGAGCAAGTAACTTATTTTTTGTGCTTAACTTTGTGGATAAGAAATCAAACATGATATAAGTTTATGACATCACTTTTGAACTCAGTGATCTAAGCAACTTAAAGCTTTTTAAAAAAAGTAACTTTTTGACTTTATTATTGCATTTTGACAGTTAGTTGACAGCTTGTTGACAGCTGTAAGCTGATGACTACATAATTTTATATCATATTTATATTCACTTATCTAAAAAACTTGAAGTTATAAACAAAAAATAATTTTTTGACTTTATTACCGGACTTTGAAGAATTGTTGACAGCTAAATGACAGCTGCCGATAGTCATTGTTATTGATTTGATATCGTCTTTGAACTTATCGAACTAAAAAAAAAAAAAAATAAATCATAAAAAAACAAGTTTCTGGCTTTATTATAGCAAATTGACAGCTAGTTGACAGCTGCCAACTGTCAATTTTGAAAATCTAACAACAGATCTGAATTCAGCAACCTCAAAAATATAAACCTAGATAATAAAAAAAATTAAATAGGCTATTTCAAAAGTCTATACACACTGCGCATATACATAAATCCGTGGAGGATATTCGGAGCTTTAAAGCTCTGTACCGGCCAAACTATCCATTTTTGAACTTTGTGGCCATTGAGACAATTGACCAGAATGATGAACTCTATCACATATAAAAAACTCAGCGAATTTGACCGGGACCCAATTTCCATAAGATTTGTGCGGGGTCCTTTACTTAAATATGTGTATAAGGAGCAGTATCATGATTTTTGTTTGATTTTTACCTCTTTAATACCTGTTTGTGCTCAGATATTAGCTAAACACATGGTATTTTTATTTGCCTGTTTTTCCCAGTGCAAGATTTTTTGTTAAACATAGTTTCTTAAAACCAACCCTTGATTGATTATTTTAGTGCAACCTGACTTGATATATATTTTTTTTAGAGATGGGCACTTTTCGGAAAAGTGTGTTACGGACATGTCGATGAAATGTCTGGTCATGTTGGGAAAAGTACTTTTGATCTTGAATCTAATAAGGCACCTATGAGTGACGTCATGTTTTCATAGGTCACTGCTTGAGGGTACACAGTAATTTATTCTAATGAATATGTGTCTTGTTAAATGTTATTTATTGTTTATATTTTTGATTAATTTTTCATTAGAACACTTCATTTTTGTCTAATATAAAACATAAAATTGTGAACCTGTTTTTCCATCCTACTGGAATTCTTAAAAATTGTTTTTGAGTAGAAGTTACATTTATAATGATATTTACTCAATTCAGAAAAATATAACCATACCATATGGCGCCATACTTCATTTATAAACTATTTGTGTATTAAATATTAAATTAAGAATAAAATGATTACTATTTATTAATCGTTAACTTTGCCAAAAGTAATAAAATATGGACATATAAAATGGTTATATTTTTAAAATGTCAGTTTCAGTTAAACAATTACCAACAAGAAAATGGTTAAATGTCTTTAATTTTACATGTTTCAACATCAACAATTGTTTGCAGGAATTATGAATGCAGCAACTAATTCCGCGCATGCGCATACAACTTTTCAATCTTGAAGTGTCCTCAGGACATGTTCACTTTTCACATGTCCGATGGACATGTCCGCGGAACATCTCTAATTTTTTTTCGTAGGTGGTAAAATACTCAAATAGAAAAAACATTTCATTTGTTTTGTCAAAAAAACAGTGGTTATTTAATATTAATTTTAGTTAGTGAACATTAACTTTTCATGGAATAATACATTTAGATATTTATGTAACAAGGTGACCAACTCCTGAATGTGATAATCCGGGACACTTTTATGAAACTAAAAAAAAATTGTCAAACACGTTGCTTTATTAATTTACTATTTTACTCAACATAACAAATAAATTAAACCACTCAATAAAACTAACTACGTAACAGGTGAAGATGTGTAACTACCTGGCCTAGTATAGGTACTTTATTTAAATTTATATTTTGTTGCTTTTTCATTTTGAAATAAATATCTATAAAACAGGTAAAATTATTATCACATCTTGTTATAATTATAGACTTTACTGTCTCTACCATCGATCTTGTACTATAAGATCGATGGTCTCTACATTAGTTTCTGAGATTTATTTAAGGTTATATAGGAAATACTATTGAAAACGCCATTCTGGGACAAATCGGTACAAAACAAATAAATCCGGTACAATTCCCAGACACTTTATTTCCCGGGACACGTTCAACATTAAGGATAGGAAGATAATAATAATGGCTGAGTTGCAAAGAGAATATGAAGTATAAAAGCATATAACATTATGAGAATAAGATGTGAGAGAACATAATACAAATGGCCAAATAAAGGAAAATATCTGGCAACATTTTACACACATTTATACATGGTGATTCACAGACGATGACCAAAAATGAAACCTTCTATTCTTTGGTTAATTTTAAGGGTAGTCTATTGTATCAAGTTTTTATCTAGGATGCTTCATTAAAATGATACAAGGTGTTAAACTTAAAAAAATGTTTTCAATATTTTTGAATAATTTAAAAACTAGTACCTAAGTGAAATAATTTGAAATTTGGCAGATGTATGTATAAACATTGTCCACAATTTGATGCCTTTTCCTAAAATTTAGATGCTTCAGTGGCGGAGATAGAGAGTATCGGTGCCATATTTTTCTAAATAAAATAGTACCTCACTGCCTTAAGGTAACAATCATGATATTTTTGGATTCGTCTTTCAATTTTCTACAAATTACTATCTTGTTTTTCCAAAAAAAAAACTGATTTTCGAGTAAAACTTAAAAAACGAACTGAAAAACACTTTTACTTAAATGACATGATAAACACTAATCATTCGGTTATTTATTCGAATACAGAAATTAATAACAGTATCATTTTAATAATTTTATTTGAGTAAAGTGCATTTCCACGAACATCGCGACATCTTTTTAGAACGAAAATGTTTGAAATTTATTGTTGCTTGAATCTGATGAACACATTATTTATCCTTTCATCTAACTGCTCAGAATGTCAAAGTTGCTATCACAGCCTACTATGTAATTTTAAATCACATTTTATGAATTTGTTTTTAGTTTGTTTTTTAAGTTTTACTTAAAAATCAGGCTTTTTCTAAAAACATAAGAGAGTAGTAATTTGTAGAAAATTGAAAGATGAATCCGAAAATATCATGATTGTTACCATAAAGCAGTGGCGTACTATTTTATTTAGAAAAATATGTCACTGCCTGTATATCCGCCACTGGAGCATTTAAATTTTAAGAAAAGGCCTCAGAATTTGGACAATGCTTACATACATACATGTACCCAATTTCAAATTATTTCACTTAATAGTTCTTTTAGGTTTAACACCCTGCATCTTTTTAACAAAGTGTCATAGATAAAAACTGTATATGAAACACCCCTTAAAATTCACCAAAGAATATGAGGTTTCATTTTTGGTCACCCGTTGTGAATCACTGTATACATACATTTTTTTCTTCAATAATAGTAAGGATGATGCTATGAATATTAATTCAACTTTTAGACTACTAAATGTTTAACTCTTTCACTGACAATATCCTTTTTGTTAAATTTTTCAAGTAAAATAAATCTATCAATTAGGCACATTATTAGGCTTTTTTTCGTGACTGAATATTGGTGAATATCTGACTTGTGGTCGCTATTTCTATCTCTTTTGATCTTAATTGTCATATGGTAGTTTAAATCTCTTCACTCACTCATATTACACATACATACTCACAACATACGACTTCACTCGCGAAAAAAAGCCTATAGGTAAATTTTTTTGCATATGTAAAAATTACAGATATTTTACAGACTAAATTCAATGTGAAAGAACTTGTTATCATTTAATTTTATTTAACTAATAGGTATCAAATATTTCATTTATCATTAACAACCCTTGCCCAATGACTTGTATATATAAATTTATAATTTAATAAATACCTAGGTATCATCTTCATTTCAGCACAAAATTTCACTATATCCAATAAATGAATATAATGCTTTTAGTTAATTAAATACTATGGTACTAAGGTACCTTATCAGATGTCAGTGTCTCTTGTCAATACCATCGGTATAATTAATACAAAAATGTTACCAATAAAACAAATAGATCTGCCTGAAAATTGCAAAATGTGTACTCACTAGTGTACTAGTTAAGATATCTAACATAATTCAATATGATATATATTTACTGTTTTATAATAAGATCACGATTTATGTTGTTTTAAATAGACTGTGGGCTAGACAAATGTCTAATTTTTACAAATACTAGGGTAAACATATATAATTAATCTCACCTGTGTAAATGAGTAGGAGCTTTGTTTAACAGCGTGTAATACTGCCTAACAAATTCCCTTCCTACACTTTGGGGAGATGGCGGTGCCTCCATTACCATTCCTAAAGATTTACTTTAACCAAAAATAGGTGTGTGATAACAGTCAATAACCTGCAAACTACAATAAATAAAAATAGCAGCATTTCAAATAAGTAACATAGATTCTATATATTCTCAGAGTCAGACAAGTCAAACATATTTCAATTATTCTTATTTAAAAGCAATTTAAAATGCTTATTTATGCGCCCATTATACAAAAAATAAATGTTTAAAATTGGCCATACAAACAAAGGGGATTCCATTAAAGTCTACACATGCTGGTAATATAATAAAATTTATTGAACTAATACTACGTCTGAAAGATAGTACGATGATAAACTAACGATTAGCAATAGTATTCAACAAAATATAATACATTTTTTTAGAAAAATGAAGATTTTCCCTGTTCACGTTTCGGCTGGCGACTCCTGCCCATATCTAATTTAGAATACCCGGCGTTGAATAAATCACAAGACGTCAATAAAGTTAGGTTTACTCACCTTCGCAGATTTCTTTGATTGCAGAGAGATAGTGCGTTGGAAAATTTGAATGTGAAGAGTGATATTAAGCAGCGTAAAGTTACAAGTTACGAATGTTTTCCTGAATACGCCGCAAAGCAAAGCACACGGGGTGTAAACTTCATAAACTGGCAAGTGAAGTTGATTTCTATTTTATCCGCAAGCATTCAGCGCTATTCAAGGTCGTTATTTTAATCTAGAACCCAAATAACTTTTTGCACTGAGCATGTGTAATAGGAAATGATGTAAAATTGAAGAATCAAACAGCGGCATTTTCAAATTTAAATAAAACATTGCCGTTATAAAGTAATACAATATTTTTTCTATAATAGATAACGAAATTATTTACTGAATATGTGTCATTAAAAAATACCCAGTTAAGATGAAAAAATATGATCCGTAACTGCTGTAACTTTAAATCCTGAAAAGGTCTGAATTAGTCTGCCAATTGCTGTTCCCTCTAATTTTGTCATGTGCTGAAGGAAACACAGGTGCAGGTAGGTATGCCACGTGCAACACGCTGCTTCATTTTACATTGCGGTATCTTGCGAGTTGTGAAAATACTTACAAATTCATAGATGTCACATAGCGTCAGAGGAATTTGTCTTTAGATGCAAATGTATCAAATATAATTTTCAATTTGTCCTGTTCTGACAGATAATCGATACTAATCATAGATAGAAAACATTAGGTAGGTAGCTTAGATTAGGAACTCTCCTAATCTAAGGTAGGTACCTATCCATAAGTACCTATACCTAGTATTTTGAAATGATTAATGACAGGAAGGAATCATGATCTAAATGGTTTCAAAATACTGAAAAACTTATTTTACTTTTCTTAATAGTAGAGGTATTAATCTTTTTCAATACCAGTTTACACTTTTTAATAATTTATTAGAAATGTGAATAAGAAATGTATTTCTTTTTATAATACTTTTTAGCTTTAAATCAAAACGACTGATTGGATGAATTTAAAATTACGCCAAAAGAGAACCAATTACATAGCTCCAATTTTATTAAGTATGAGAAAGACGTTCCTTCAAATTCAAAGTGCGTAGACGGGAAACCAAAAATTCAATTTATTTTAATATTTACAACGGAACAGTCGCTTAATGCATAATTTTTTATTTGTTAAAAATTCGATATATATCGAAATTTTAAGTATTTTATATGGTGAAAATTGAAACGTTCACACCTTTTATAAAAAAAAAGCGCGAAACCCATACCGTTTCATTTAGATTTTTAGCGTAAACAAGAGAAGGGTATTTTGCTAAAATAGAAAATACAAAATCCATTTGCGCACTTCAATAAGTCAAGTTCAATACATGACGTGTTTGGAAAATCAATCGGTGTTCGTTTTTAATCTTTTAATTTTATTTTAACGGTATTTCTTTCCTTCAAAATTTTGGCCGAACCCCAGGACCATTTTCCCAAGCTATCGAATTATTTTCTCATTTTTTTTAATTTAGCCTTTGTGCTCGTATCTATTCTAATATACAGGGTGGTACAGATTTTAATAGACAAACTTCGGGAAACTACACTAAACAACCAAAATTAACATCACTTTGCTCTATGAACATAGGGGCAGAAATCCACCGTTTATGAGATACAGGGCGTTGAAATCATCAAAAATAAAACAATTTTTTTAATGTCTGGAAAACCGCTCCATCAAATTTATCCAAATTTGGTACATATTTTTTTCGAATATTTCTCCTAGTTCTGTATGCACACAGTCCAAATCCAAAAACCAGTGGCAGAGAAACAAGGACGTTTTGTTTCCTTATTTAGAGTAAAACTTCTATGCCACTGAATTAATTGGTAATATGAATACATTTTATAAGGTCTGGAATATTCCGGATGAAAAAACATTGTTTTATTTTTGTCCAAAAGTGGTTTACGAGTTATGAGACATATTATCCAAGTAAATAAAGCGTTGAAATAGGGAAAAATAAAACGAATTTGGGTCATCCAGATTTTTAATAGACAATCTTCGAGAAAGTACTAAACAACAAAAACTTATTTGCTCTATGAACATAGGCACACAAAGCCACCATTTGTGAGATGCAGGGCGTTGAAATTAATAAAAGTAAAACAATTTTTTTAAATATCAGGAAAATCGCTTCATCAGATTTATCCAAATTTGGTACAAACTTTTTTTCAAATATTTGTCCTAGTTCTGCATGCACACAGTCCAAATTCAAAAACCTGTGGCGGAGAAACAATGATATCGTTTCCTTATTTAAAGTAAAACTTTTATGCCACTGAATTAATTGGTAATATGAATACATTTTACAACGGTCTGACACATTCCGGATGAAAAAACATTCTTTTATTTTTGTCGAAAAGTGCATGCATGGTTTAAGAGTTATAAGACATATTTATGATGGGGTTTTCCAGATATTTAAAAAAAATTAGTTTATTTCTGTTAATTTCAACGCCCTGTATCTCATAAATGATAGTTTTCTGCGTCTATTTTCATAAAGCAAAGTGATGTTAACTTTTTGTTATATAAAACTTTCCCAAAGTTTGTCTATCAAAATCTGGACCACCCAAATGTGTTTTATTTTTCCCTATTTCAACGTTTTGTTTACTTGAATAATATGTCTCATAACTCGCAAACCATTCACTTTTCGATAAAAATAAAAGAATGTTTTTTCATCCAGAATGTTTCAAACTATTATAAAATGTATTCATATTACGAATTAATTTAGTGGCGTAGAAGTTTTACTTTAAATAAGTAAACATCCTTGTTTCTCCGCTACTGGTCTTTGAATTTGGACTATGTGCATACAAAACTAGGGGAAATATTTGAAAAAAAATGTGTACCAAATTTGGATAAGTTTGATAAAGCCGTTTTTCAGATATTAAAAAAAATAGTTTTATTTTTAATTTCAACGCCCTGTATCCCATAAACGGTGGCTTTCTGCACCTATGTTAGAGCAAAGTGATGTTAATTTTTGTTGTTTAGTAGTTTCCCGAAGTTTGTCTATTAAAATCTGGACCACCCTGTATATATTTATAGGTGAAGAGGTTTCTCCAACTAATCTATTGCATTCACAAAGTACGTTATAAATGCAATTTTTTAAATTTTGAACGTAATAACCATGGAGACTAATGTTCAAAATTTAACCAAATAATAATTTTGTAAATTTGTTACCTAGGCATTCTCCGTCGTTTTTACGAGAATATATGGAATTTTTATTGTGGATACATTGTTGGACAAACCCCTCACCTGTAAATATTAGACAAGCACCAAAGTGTATATAAAAATGGAGAATTCCACGAGGTTCGACCAAAATTTTTGGAGAAAAATTAAAAGTATAAAAATTATTTTAAAATGTAGTGACGGAAATAGATTGATATTCAAACTGTGTCAAGACTTATTGAACAGACATTACACAAGATAACCATAAAGAGAACCTTCATGATAAAAAAAATGTAGAACAAATTTGGGAAATGAGAAATAAAATAGGGCTGCTCGCTCTAGAATCTAGTAAAAGTTTGCAGTTATGTGCAAATACTTTTTTCCTAACCAACTGACGTACAAATAAGTATTTTCCTTATTTTTCATAAAATTAAATTTTCTTGTTAACTACTTAATTTGATAGGTAGGTACCTACTAACATTTAATTTTTCAGAATTCATAATGCAACTTTAAGGAAAAAGAAAATATTGTAAAAAATAAGAACACACCTATAGTTCATTATGGAAAAAATATATATTTTGCATAATATGTACGACCCTTATCAAGATCCCTTATTTTAATCCCTCATTTTACAAATTTTGTATGAAATTCTTCCGTCATGAAAATTCTCTTTGTACGCCTAGAAATCTAAAAAATTTGTATAGGTCCAAATATGACCACTTCAATTTTCAGGTCACTACTCTGGACTCCGTCCTTTCCATCATCTAACTGACACATATTAAAGGATAGGTTAACCACTTTTTTCTTCATGTACCTAAATTTCCTTTGTACAATGTTTACTAATTTTGAATAAAGCGATTTAAAATAAAATTATTTATATCAATATTAAAAGAAAATTCATATTTTTTCAACGCTGAACAAGGATCGTTGGTTAGTATACACAAGGCTATACAAGGTGTCCGTGAAATAACACGACACAATTTTAAGTTTAGATTTTACATTCAAAAGTAGACACTAACAATAAAGTAATGATTTAAATATTTCACAAACCACCTGTGAAACAAAAATATGAGTATGTATTAAACTTCTTACAACCTTGTATGTACCTACTGTGGCAGGCTGTATAATTTAAAACTTTTATTATACACTGAACTGGATAATTTTTTTCTTCATTTAATGGGCAAGTAGCACGTAGCAAATTTGAGTTGGTAAATAAAAAGAAAACTTTGTGACTTAAATCAATCTATTAGAATAGCATCACTGTTGTAATTCATGACTGTATGAAGCTTGTTCAAGATTTACGAAAAATGACAAAACAGGTCAATTTTTTCTTTTGAGATTTTAATAATTTAGTTAATTTTTCACATTAAATTTGAACCATGATCAAATAGGTATTTTTTAAATAGCAACCCCATTTTGTTTATTTTTTTTTATGTTTTTTTGCTTTTACTAAATGGTATTAAGCTAATTCAAATCAGACTAAAAATTTTTCAAAAATTCTCAATTTCAAACAGCTTTTAATTAATAATAATGATATTGTAGGAAAAAACTATCCCTCCGAAGTAATATGAAAGAGATCATGTAATGTTTGTGTATTTAGTTGTAGACAAGTTTACAAACATTCGACAATAATTATAATAAATGTACAAACCGAGCACTATTTGTTGCTCAAAAGTAGCTTAAACAGTAAATAAATTCAATATTTATTGTTTTTGTTTTAGAAATTTTCCTCAACTCTGATCGCATTTTTTAAATTTCGTACATTGTTCAAAAGGTGTTCTTAGACTACGTCTATTAACATTCCCATAAGAAAAGATTGGGAGGCAGTACTTGGTGACGATTTTTTTTGCACATTTTCCTATCTATTGATTAGGAAAAACGTCAGATAGGTGCCGGGTAGTGTGGGAGTAGCCATCCTGTTGAAACCAGTTAGTCGAGATATACCCAGAAAGCACAAAATGAATTTGTTCACCATTTAAGGCGAATAATTTCTAATTTGTCTAGTACTGTTATCAATTGTTTCTAAATTTTGTTGTAATAGTTTAAATTAAGTTAAAATGTTTTTCTAAAAATAAAATTGTAATTTTTAAATGGTAGGTAATTGACATCATGATGATACCGACACACCCAAATAAGTTCGTTGAATTCTGATAAAAAAATTGGGATTTATTAAAAACAAGTCGTAGTAAAACTTTCCAAAATTATTAAATATCTGAAAAAAAAACAAAGATAATTCGTGGCATTTTTCACAAGTCTTATTCATTTTCGTACCACGCTCAACATTCCTGATGGTGTCTTACATATTTTCTACATAATTTTGTAGTGATATTTTGAAATACAGTATTTTAAAAGAAAAAAAAACTAATTTTTTGTAAAAATTAAAGTTCTTGTTTACATCTGAAAAAGTACCAAGTTTAGAAAATAAAAAAAGTTTAAAGTGAGTCATGACACAAGGTAAAAAATACAACTTTTCTTTACAACACCCTGTGTAAGTAATCAAATATATTCCTACAACCTGGATTATTCAAATATCCACAAATTTAATAATCTGGACTAAAAGTGGCTAATCCAATAATATGGACTACATTCCTAGTTATTAACCAGAATATTATAAAATGGATATAGTTCAAATTATACAGGGTAATTCACAAGCGGTGGCCAAAAATGAAACCTCGTATTCTTTGGTGAATTTTAAGGTTTCATAAAAAGTTTTTATGTATGCATCGTTAAGTGTGTTAAACTTTAAAAAATATTTTTAATTTTTATAAATTTAAAAACTAGAAAGTGGAATAATTTGAAATGGGGCACATGTATGTAAACATTGTATAAAATCTTAGGCCTTTTCCTAAAATTTAGATGCTCAGGCAGAGGTACAGGGTACCAGTGGCATATTTTTCTAAATAGTATACCACTGCTTTACTGTAACAACCATATTTTCGGATGTCTTTCAATTTTCTACAAATTACTACTCTTTTCGAAAAAGGCCTGATTTTTGAGTAAAACTTAGAAACGAACTGAAAACACTTCGACATTTGAATAAAATGCGGTTGAAAATTGCAAGCAGGCCGTGATAGCAACATTGACATTCTGAACAGTTAGAAAGAAAGAATAAATGGTTTCATCAGATTTAAGCGACAATAAATTTCGAACAATTACATTTTCGTTACTAAAAAGATGTCGTACCTGTGTTTGTGGAAATGCACTTTACTCAAATAAAATCATTAAAGTTATACCGTTATTAATTTATGTATTCGGACAAATAACCGAATGATTAGTGCTCGTCAGGTCATTTAAGTAAGTTTTTTCAGTTTTTTTTTAAGTTTTACTTGAAAATCAACCTTTTTTTGAAAAACAATAATTTGTAGAAAATTGAGACGAATCCGAAAATATTATGTTACCGTAAAGCAGTGGCTTACTATTTTATTTAGAAAAAATTTTTTACATACCCAATGCCGAATTCTTTTCCTAATTTTTTAGTCATAAGTCTATTTGGTAAACTGGAATATTCACTTGTTCAGACTAGGCCCGGAATATTTTATTCTGGATTATCGGGGTTCAACTGTACAGGTAGTCTTTACAGAGTGAAATATAAACTTTTACAAATTATTAGATATATTACAGTGTTTGTTCAAACAATTAGATATATTTTTTAGATTTATATACTTTGGCTCATTGATTTACAAACAAGACAGGCACAGAAATCTGATTACGAAAAAATATTTAACATATAATGTAATGTGTAGTATAATTATTTAATTCAGTAATGGATACATATACTGATTACAAAAAAACAAAAACTTAGTGAAATTCGTATTATACAAAGCAAATAGACAAAATAACTCTACATTCAAATAGATAATGCTTATTACAATTAAAAAATAAAAATTCTTGCGAATGTTATGAACCATAATATATATATACACCATTTTTCAACTGGCAATAAATATTCCATGATTTCTTAGTGGATGGAAGTTAGTGAGAATGAGCGTCATCTTTTCTTTCTGAAATTACAAAAAAAATTGTTTAATCCAGTACAATGCAACAATTCCATTTGTTAGTTTTAACTGAATATTAGTCAATATTTAATAAAGCTGAATATATTCCACGTTTATTACCTTGGTTGTAAATTTGATATTCATTTAAGCACTAATTTTTCAAAATTATAAATCAGATAATTTCCAACATGTCGAATACATTTTTTTTATAATTTATATTATGGTAAAGTTTTTAAAGTAATACAGCATAATATATAAACCAACCAAATGTTATTTTAATAAAATTTTGAATATGTGGGAAACTTGTAATAGTTCAAAAATGTGAAAAAAAATTCAAAATAAATTTAAAGCAGGATGAAATCAAGTTTCGGTGTGAGGGAGTAATAGCGACAATCAAAAACTTTTGACAATTTGTTAGTCTTTAACAATGGTTGTACACTGTATTGGCTGATTGATATATTTTGGGAAATAGGTTTTTCTCAAAAATGGCGATATGGTAAACAATGTTATATTTTCAGTGCGTATTACTCAAATATTAAATTAAAATTATGGTTAATCACGGCTATTTTTTTCTTCTCGCGGAAAAATACCTCTTTTGACACCACTGGAAATAACCTTTAGTTGTAACACAGCACTTTTTTAATTTTCCACTGCCTTCGAGATCTCAACAGTAGAAAACCACTTTCCCATTCTCGGCCTTTACAGCAGTTAAACGTTATTATTTCATCGGTTCTGTCCAAACGAAGAATTAAAATTACTTTGCAAATAATGCAGTGACCGCTAAAAATCTGTGATTTTCACCCATTTTTTCACAATTTGCAGAAAACTAAAAAAAATACATAAAAATATGTTTTTGGTCGCAAATTACTTGTCGGTCGTAAAAAACAGAAATGAGCAGTTTTTAGTATTTTGAAAATTTTAAAAATCACCCCTACTTAGGGGTTGAAAAAATGCCAATAATGAAGAATTTGAATGCTAACAATTGATATAAAATTATAAAACATATTAGCATATGAATCATCTAATATATTTTTTTGGAATTTTTACAATTATTTGATATTCTCTATTTTTGGGGATGATTCCACCCCCTGAGCACACTTAAGTGTGGATTTTCTAATGCAACATGCTTATTTTAGTCATGAGCATAAATCTTTCTTTGTATCAAGAATCATTCGATAGAAAAATTTATATGCTAGTTATTATATTTATTGGTAATATTCAATTCTTCATTTTGGGCGTATTTTCAACCCCTAAACAGGGGGGATATTTGAAAATTTTCAAAAAACTAAGTCATCTTACTTTTTTACGAGTAATTTGAGACCAAAAACATATTTTTATCAATTTTCTTTAGTTCTCTGCGAATTGTGAAAAAACGGGCGATTTTTGCGGTCACTTTCCGTGGCAATATTGTCGTACAAATTCGATTCATTATTCATCAAGTTGGAATATTTTTTAGACACGATTCATTTTTCACATATCAAGGCCAACAATTCAGAAAACTGATTTCCAACCATTAATATTTAGGAGGCAGCTGAAAATATAAAAAACTGTAAACACAAAAATTCTATAATGAAGTTATTTCTAGCAGAATAAAAAAAAGGATATTTCTGAAAAAAAATTACCACCGTTAGTACGTAGTGTGCAAGTTACAGCTACTAAATATGATCAAAACAAATTGTGGTTTTCGTGAAAAACTTATTTCCCAACGACTTCGTTTTCAATTCCTACTGAACCAATTTCCAAGATGGAACCAGACGTGACGATCCTGTCCCTACTTCAACCTTAAAAATCAATAGATTAATGGCTGATCCTACTGGCATTACTAGGATTTTAGGGTAAATTATACAGTAATTTTCATGCATTTCAAATAAAACCTAGGAAAATTAAATTAGAAAACATTTCCAAATGTTGAATACCTGCAGAACACAAAAAATTACTGTACAATTCAAGCTCAGCTTAAATTTTAAGTAATGCCAGTACAACTAACCAGATTTTATACAATTTACATGGAATATGTAAATAACAAAGCACAATTGATTGATAAAGATAAAATTCAATATAATCGATCTAAATTAATCTAAAAACCCTTAAAAATAACATTCCATAAAAATCAAGTCCAAACATTGCGATAATTTTTAAAATTTATGTTAGCGTTCAGTATTTTACGTTTACACTTTTATTTAAATTTAATAAGAAACGTAATTATGTATCACTAAAATTTTGAACTGTTAAAAAACAAAAAAAAATAGTGGAATTAAAAATAAAAATTGTGTACACAAAGTTTTTCTTTTATTCAGTTTTTGTCATACAATGGAAGTACACAAGCCTCCTGCACTCATACAATTACATAAACTTAGAGCTACGTTTTAAACTATTAAATAAAATCGTTAACATAATACAGAAAGGTAGGTATATAAATTGCTTATTGTTGAAGACAATCCTCTTTACTAGTTAAGATTTACTTTAATATCAAAAAATAAAAACAACTCTTTTATGTTGAACATAAAAATTTTTGTACGTAGATATTTTCCAAAGGCCGTCATTATGAAAATGGAATGATTGGAAAATCCTTTGAGATGATACGAAAACACCTGCAGAATACAGAATACATTATTAGCTTTTAAAATTTACAAAAGGGAATATTTACGTCTTACCAGAAATTTATTTAATCACAAGCTAATCTAATAGGGCTGGTGCCTTTGGTTCCTCTGGCCTGTACCGCCACCCCTTTGTTTACCCCCCTGGTATCCAGATCCACCTGAAAAGGAAAAGCAGTATAAAAATTTTAATATTATAGCAATCCTACTCACTAATTAAACTCAAATTATTCTCGCCACCTGCGTTGTCTATTTGGCACTATGTTCTTCTACTGATTATTTTTTTAAATAATGTCACTATAAATCTAAACAAAATAGCTGCAACTCGGAATTTTTAAATTTTAGTCAGGACGCAGTTTGTGGAAATATGCACAATCTTGTGATAAAACGCAGGTTACGAATTAAGCAGAAAGACTAAAAATTTTCTAATAGTGATAGAACAAAAAAATTAAAGACCAACAGTTACATGAATTTTCAGCTTGACTTGATGGTGTCTATTGAAATTTTGGAAAAAAAAAAGAACTTAAGTCAGGCTACCGTTTTTGACCAAGACATCATCAAAACAAGTACCATTAAGTACAAGAATTTAGTACAATTAAAATTTAATGTTTAGAACACCACCACAAGTACCTTTTCCACGAGCGTTATTACTGCGTCCACCACCATATCCTCCATCATAGCCATATCCCTGGTCTGCATTCAAGTATAAATATGTTATTAATCAATTTTTTACGAATTAAAAAGCTATAATTTTATGTTAGAAATTTATTTGCTGCAAATTAAAAATTTATGAAAATTCATAAAACGTAACGTAGTGTGGGAAAGAAATCTGTAATAAAAATCTGAACACAATTATTAGACATGTAAATGAGAAATACTTCCAGACATATAACTAATACTAACTAGGACAGTTGCAGCTTTATGGAAAAATTGTGCTCATCACGTGCATGGGTAGAAAGGTGGAAAATGGAAAACACATTATGAAATTAATTTCAACAAATGCTTTATTCAAGCTTTAGATATTTCACAATGTATTTCCATATATAAAGGTCAACATGCATAAAGTATAGGAACAAAACAAGTGTCGACTATTTGTAAATATAATATGTAAATAAAATGTTCTTTTCGATAACGCGTGAATGTCACACTCTATCGCCCGTTTCTTTGATCTAACTTAAAAGTTGGTACACAAAGCATCAAGGCACTGATACTTAACCAACAATGCTAACATGTTAAATTAATGCCTGTTGGAGTATTTACCATAGTTGCCATAGTTGGAGTAATCATATCCACCATAGCCTCCATATCCACCACCTCCTCCATAGTAATCATAGCCACTACCATAACCATCATATCCATAACCCTGACCGTATCCACCATAGCCTCCGTAGGGCTGGTTCCAGTTTGGACCACCGTATCCTCCTCTACCCCTGCCACGGGTACCACCTCGTCCCCCCATTCGACCACCACGTCCCATCATACCCATTTGGTCAGGTTTAGGTGTAGCCTTCTTTACATCTACCTGTAATGAGAATTAATTACATGTATTTAACATATATAATTTTTCAGCAATTTTTTTTATATCGCAGATTTCATTAGTCACCTTCGGGGTATTTTCATATAAATCTGAATTCATGACCATAAAAAATTTAAGTCAATAATTTGGAGTTTGAGGCTTGTAATTGAATATTATTCCACAAAAAATATTAGAAATGATCATCTTTCATAGTACATGATAAACAAAATAAAATCTCAACTCGAATTTTTGTCATTTTCTGAATTTGATGAGAAACTGCAACATATACTGCAGGAGGAAGAAAACTGAAAGGAATGGAATTTAATCTTCATTATTCAATGTATTAAAAAATAGAGATCAAGTCAAACACTTTTCAATAGATTTTTATCAAATCGACTTGTATCAAAAATGGGTTGGCAATTTAATAAAATAATTAAGCAAAAACCATTAGAAATGTGAAAAATCTATAAAAAAAAAAATAAAAAGAACCTCTTCACAAGGTGCAAGGTTCCCCTACAAAATACAGGCATGATTCGTTTATTTCTGTGAAAACAATTACTTCGGTAACAGTGAAAAAGACAGGTACTATTATATCAATTTTCAATTAAGCCTGCCATTCACAGGCAGACCCGTCCGCCAGACGAGTCCATTGGACCCAGTCTGCCGACCCATCCTATTGTGAATGTGATAGCACTGACATGTCGTGGTATGGTCGCAGGTCCGCAGAATCAATGAACACTTACGACATGTCCCGGACTGATCCGTGCCGTTTCATTACGTTTGGGTAATTTACAACGACTGCGACTGGAGTCTCTTGTCGTACGAAGATAATCGTGAATTTTGAGAAGAATTTATTAGTATTTATAGAGAAAATAGTTGTTTATGGGACATAAAAAGCATGGAGTACAGAAACAAACAAAGGAGAAATGCGGCTTACGAAAATTTAATTTTAAAATGCAAGAAAGTGTTTCCCAATCAATGCTACAAAAGAATTCATTATAAAAAAAATTTCATTACCGAGATCATGATAACGGCAGCATGATATCTACACGTCGCAGTGGTTCATCGTCAACTGAGAAATACTGAGAATACCACAACTGCCCTTTTAGTGTATGGATCAGAAAGGATCGGACCGGGTCCTGTCGCAGTCGTAAGTCGGGTACGAGTTTGCCTAGTGAATGGCCCGCTTTAAATGCGACAGTATTTTAGAATTACTGGAAAGAAAATATTTTCTGCCAACTTCGATGTCCACTAATGGTTAATCAACAACATTGGTAGAAGGCAAGTTTATTTAAAATGGTTATCATTTTTACTATAATGTTTTTAAAAACACCCTGTATAAATGTCCGACAGAAATTCTAAGAAACCAAAGTACTCAATTTTTTTTGAATCACCCAGTCTAAAATTTCAAATACATTTTTTTCAATTAACCTCTCAATGTTTCAGAATTTCAAAAAGGTAAAAGTACGCCCACAGTACTTACCTCTTTGTCTTTAATAGTCTGCTTTGGCGTTTTGAGGAGTTCATTTACAACTTGTTCAGATTCAAATGTGATGAAGCAGAATCCTTTCCTTTGATTCTTTGTCTTATCAAATGGCATTTCGACTTCAATGATCTACAAAAATGTATATATTAGACAAAATATATAACATCCTTACAACTTTCATTTACCGTTCCATATTGCCCAAAGTAACTTTTGATGTCGTCATCGGTAAGTTCTGTTGTGAGACCACCTACAAATATTTTTCCGTGACGTGCTTTGGCTTTCTTTGGGTCGACTTTTTTGTTATTTATTACATGTTCTCCCGCTGCTACTACTTTGTCGATCGAGTCTGCATTATTGAAGACTATAAAAGCAAAACCTCTCGACCGGCCAGTGTTAGGATCTGTTTTGACGTTTATACTTTCTATTTCACCATATTGACCAAAGTGTTCTCTAAGTTCCTCTACAAAAATTGTTAAATTAATAAAATTGACCTTTAACCCGATTTGCTATCCATATTAATTGCTTTTCTTTTATCAGAAATTTTTTTTAACATCAACACTACTCAGTAGCAGAACTGACTATTAGATATCATCATTAAAACTGCAAAGACCAGTCTATTTTTAATTATAACAATTGTTAAGCAAAATGATAGTTATACTTTTATGGTAGAATAAAAAATAATTCTATTTCTTAATTTTTCTGACAACTTACAATTCTGATACACAATTAAGCAAAGTGTGCAAATTGAAGTCCTTTTACTGACAAAAATAACAACACTGCAGTAGTGGCAGGCAAAAGTCAAGTTTGATAATGAATAATGGTGTCCATACTTTTTTTAAGGAATGATTTTCAATATTGGAGAACTTCCATGACAAAGAATTTTAAATTTGGAAATTAAAAATAAATGTTCCAGGGCTAAAATCACAGTAGGAACCGAATGTTAGAAATAACGCAATATATTTTCACTAACATGTTATATGTTTGTTTTGTTCCGTTTTTTTTTTTTTTTTTCATAATGGTCTAGAATTGACACCACTATTGCAGACCTAGGTAACAGTGAAATATTTTTTCAAGAAGCAACCGATTTTCCACAAAATTTTAATTTTTCTAAATTCCAGCGTTATGAAGTCAGAATTATGGAATATTAGTATAGATTTAAAATTTAAACAAATAGAAGAAAAAGTAGTTAGGACCCCACTCTTCCTTATCGAAATATGAATAAAATTAGTTTTCACAAGCTTCCACTCCTGCAATGTAAATAAAATATTGTGACAATTTTTATACTCACTATCTGTCGTTTCCCAACTTAATCCACCAACAAACAATTTTCTGCAAACAAAAATAATAGAGTTAATAATACTGCAGTCCTGTGCTTGTTCCTAAAAATTCTAGTGTTTTTTTGATAATACTTAAAAATTAATTTACTTAAATTTTACTATACAACAAAATGTTAAAATATAGAAACTGCAAAGATTTAATCCTAGTCATTCAAATGGATCTGCAATCTCAAGTAATCTGAAATTTACATTTAAGCAGAGAAAATCTGAGAAAATCGAAAAGCAAGAAGTTATTGTTAAACATTTGAATTTAAAAAAGGACATATTTATAAACTGTCCAAATTTAATTAACGTTGATTTACTAAGTGTTGGCAGAAGAAGTGCCCAAGGATAAATACCATGGGTCCAAGTGATCCAAGTCCTCCCCACATTCCATCTTCCACTTAGCTGACTCAGCCACCTGGAGAAAAGGAACTGTTTAAATTGGATAAGCTTGGTATCCTAAAAACCTGGCATCCTACACCGGTCCCGATTTTTGATCAAATTAAAACCCAAGATATGTATAAACTGCTAAATTTATTATTAAAATCCACTGAAAATCAAATTTTATTACAAACCGATTAAATGTTTACTGCTGAAAAGTAGAAAAAACAATGCTTGCAAAATACCTTGAACAAAATTGTACACAGGATATTCAAAATGCGCGCCAATTTGAGCGTCATCCGCCATTTTCTTCTAAAAATTAAGAGTCATCTTGATCAAAATTGCCAAATTATTACTTTACATAAAGCATAATTACAACAATACATACAAGTCGGTACTTCTTCGATGCTACATGAAACATCAAATCTATTGAATAAATACAATTTACTTTGTACTCTTGGATGAACCTAGATTTGATATGGCATCAGGTAAAGGACGATAATTATATCAGATTCGACATCGAACTTCGAACTTATATTAACAATTCTATACGACAATTAATAATAAACTTTACAAATATTTTGTTTTTTCTAAACTTACCTATCGTCATCACGACCAGGGGTATCCGCACTGCCACTATCTGCTGGTGGAGCGTCACCGGAACCGTTTTGTACATTATCTTGGTTTTGGAAATTTTGTTCAGTAGAAACATCTTTTGAAAAATCTTCTCCATTTTCCATTGGGCAATCTTGGGTAGCCATTTCACTTACTTATTATATAAATACTAAATTACTATTACAACTAAAATGACTGTCACAACACGTCCAACTCGAATGAGCACAGAAAGAGAAGAGAACAAACGTTTAAGAGCAGTATGTGAAATCGTTATTTCGTTCCCCCTTCCAACGTCATAACCGGCCAACACACCAATCACTATGCAGCATTTTAAACTAGTTTTACTTTATGCTGCGGGTAGCTTTGTTGAGACAAGCTTGTTTACAAGCTACCAGTAATATTATAAAAACAACTACATTACCTTTTTGGCGGTACGATTTAAAAATTTTAAAATTAGGCAAGTAAATATTTTCTTACGTATCAACGTTAATACAGTTAATACTGTTGAACGAAATATATTATTGTTTTTTTATAAATGTAAATATTTCGTCTCAGAAAAAGAAGGTGAAGGAATTATCTAAAATTTTAAAATATGTTAAGGCTGTATTGTAATAAAAGACCCAAGGGCACTAAATAGAGTTAGGACTCTCTGATAGTACATAAGTATTAGGGTGTACCGAAATATCAATTTTATAAAAAGAATATAGTACCTACACATACACAACTATGTTATAAAACATGTACTTTAAAATCGATACTAAAGTACCTTGCCCTTAAAAATATTACAATTACCGAGTACGTATTCGCCTAGGTACCTATCTATACAATATAATTTATTCACTAGAGGAAAAAAATTAACTTACTGTTTGTACCAATTTATTTGTACATATTTTTGTTACACCGAAAAGAAAAGGAATTTAAATTATACAGGGTGATTCACAAACGGTGACCAAAAATGGGACCTCGAATTCTTTGCGACAAGATTACCGCACGCAAATAAAATAGAGTGGAGAAACAGCTAGTTAGGTACCGACCTAAAAAACATGCGAAAAGATATAACTTATCCGTCATGAGTAATAAAAATATATTAAATAAATAATTCTTTTATTAATCCTACGAAAAATGACATAGCAATGACATTGTTTCCTTAGAAACAAACTGCTTTAGTATTATGGAAAGTTGTCAGCCAGGAGCTATAAATTTTTAAGTAGAAAATTTTTTTTGGGATATGTAAAATGCCACATTGTAAGGTAGGAAATGAAATCAAAATCATGTACCTACTATATAAATCTTCTTCTTTATTTATACCTATTTATAGGAAATAAAATTTGTTAACGTCTGGCGCACATGTAATAAAATTAGAGCAGCGATTTTTCGCTTGGGCATAAATCTTTATGATTATTTCAATGAAGTGGACGTTCACGGGATATGCTTAATTTCTGGTAAGTACTAACTATATGACCACATAAAATATAATTTTACCATTATTATACATCAAGCCTAAAGCAGACATTTTTGTAATCTCAAATGACAGATTGTCATTAGGTAGCTACAGACATAGACCATATGTAGACTTGTAGTTTATAAGGTCTACATTAAAAATGCATATAGATACTTTAAAATACTTTTTTAATATCGATTAAATAAAATAGTAAAGGTAATTTTATTTATGAGATATATCGAAAAAAAAAACAAAATTGTAAACGATAAAATAGGTACGTTAATAATTAAAAAAAAGTTTCCTTCATTACAGAGAGGCCAGGAAAATGTCCCTTACCCCCTATTTTTGCCGTTATTTCGGATAATACGAAAAAAGTGTAGGAGGCAACTTTTTATTTTTTTTATTACGTCGAATATCATATTTTCTCTTTGTCTTTCTTAAGATTAGTGGCAAAGCCTTCATGGGTGTAGGTAGTGTAGGTATACAGGGTGAATCAGTTTTTTGTAGTAGGATTTTAACTGTCGATAGAGAATAATTTTTTAATAAGAAAAGTTCCTATAAACGTAGGTCTTAGAACGCTTCGTTTGTGATATATAGGGTGTTGAAAACAAACTTTTTTTAAAAATTTTTCTTAATATCTCTAAAAGACCAACATATATTGAACTGAAATTTGGTATTAATAACACATTAGTTATGGTGAATAAAACAAAGATATCTGTTATCCATTTCACACACCAGTGACGTGCCTGAGGTGGGTTACTGCCCCCTTTAAAAAAATAATTCGTACGCCCGTGGATTTTTCTGGAAAATAACATCATTTCTAAATTTTTTAATCAATTCTGAACAAAACAGCTCTCTTTCAATTTTTTATAAAATGAACGGTTTTTGGTTAAATTCATTTGGCATGAAACTGTTCCAACGATATTGGTAATACATTTGTAATAAGAAAAATATGATGTACCCTGAAAATCAACAAAAACGATTAAATGTCATAACGTTGACATAAGAACGCAAACATTGTGTAACGTGTGTGTCAATTAGTTCTTTTTTTAAGTTCTGTGTTTGTTTTTTCATGCCAAATTTCAGTTTAATATCTGTTGGTCTTTTAGAGATATTAAGAAAAATTCTTAAAAATGTTTGTTTTCTACACCCTATATCTCACAAACGAAGCGTTTTAAGACCTATGTTTATAGGAACTTTTCTTATTAAAAAATGATTCTCTATCAACTGTTATTATTCATTCAATCGTTTTTGTTGATTTTCAGTGCACATCATATTTTTCTTATTAATTCACAAATGTATTAGGTACCAATATCGTTGGAACAGTTTCATGCCAAATGAATTTAACCAAAAACCGTTAATTTTATAAAAAATTGAAAGAGATCTGTTTTGTTCAGAATTGATTAAAAAATTTAGAAATGATGTTATTTTCCAGAAAAATTCACGGGCGTACGAATTATTTTTTTAAAGGGGGCAGTAACCCACCTCAGGCACGTCACTGGTGGGTGAAATGGATAACAGATATCTTTATTTTATTCACCATAACTAATGTGTTATTAATACCAAATTTCAGTTCAATATATGTTGGTCTTTTAGAGATATTAAGAAAAATTCTTAAAAAAAGTTTGTTTTCAACACCCTATATCTCACAAACGAAGCGTTCTAAGACCTACGTTTATAAGAACTTTTCTTATTAAAAAATGAATCTCTATCAACTGTTAAAATCCTACCACAAAAAACTGACTCACCCTGTATGTATATTACCTACGTTTACATAAGCAATATGTTGAAGAAAATTTTAGATTCTTACAGCTAATAATAATTCCTTAATAGGTAACACAATCTTTCCTGTTACAATTATGTATTTGTTACATTAATTATTGAATCTATTTTGTAATATTTAGGCTCCGTACTTTGAGTCTCGGTTGAGACTTAATTAACTAGTCAGGCAATTAGACTGTGAATATACTATTATAAAATAAATCAATATATGTGCAGTCTTATCATGTGATTACTAATCCAGACTCAAAGTACTGGGCCTAAAATGATTAAAAATATTGGTTTTAGAATCTCAGTTCATATCGGTAGTAAATGGACAGCTTGGAGCAATTATAGGATTATCTGACCAAGAAATTGCAGAATTGGCAGATTATTTTCGAGTTCCAGATGGAAGAATTTATTACACACAATTATGTGATGTTATCCATCAGAGTGGTAAGTAGATATGTGTACAACCATTGTATAAGTTGTATTGTATTGTATTTACTTATACAATGGTACAACTCATGTAGGTAAAATGTCGAAATTTAAGTTCTAGTTTTATATGTATACATATACATATAAAACTAGAACTTAAAGTATAAGTTAGATAGGAACAAAATTATGGTACCTATTAGTCAAAATAACAAGTCATTTCTACACTCATGAAAATTTATATATTCGTTTATCATGCGTTATTATACTCAATATTTTCAAACAAGTATAACCGTTAATGTTATATAAAAAAAATTATGAACAGAAAATAATAACTGATCTATTTTTTTCTTTCCTAAAAGAATATTCAGTTCAAGTTAAGTTGACAGTTGGCCTACAACACTAATGATATTTTTTTATCATTTATTTTCAGTGTTAATTTTGAACATAATTTAATATTTAAGTAAGTATATTGAAAATATTCAGTATAAATATCTAAAAAGCATCACGAACAAGACAAAAACTAAAGAATTTTGTGCCACAGGAATTTATTATGAATTCAGTTAAATCAGTCAGTAGTTTTTCCTATTTCTACATTAACAAGTAGGTACATTGTTGCTATGAATTTATAAACAAAAAAGTATCATTCTAAAATATTAATATGTATCTACTTATAGGCTTTTCAAAAGTAGTTATGAATATTATACAATTAAGATTAAAAACGAAACGCTGTAGTGTACCTAGCATTACCACTAGACTACTAACTCTTTGGTGATGTGTAACCTTGAATGTGTCAGTTACCCGTGTCCATGTCATTAAATTTAACTTCCTCCAACAAAATTTCCATGTCGCGAAAATAACTCTTACATATAGCAGAAAATATGATATAAAACTACAACGTACAAAAAATGAAGAAACGATTTGCTCGTTTAAATTTAAGAATACAGATTTTGTTATACTGATGTCCCAGTAATGGTTGGAAAATGAAACGGTAAAAATTTGAATTTGGACAATTGGTAAAATAAGATAAAAAAAATCCTATAAGGGAATGTCTGGGTCTGGAAACGTTTCATTGACAAGTTTCACATTTTGCAAAATTTCTGAAGATATTTGACGTAGAGTGAGTCGAAACTTCGGTTAATAACTTATCTATCTGAAAGTAAAATATCGCCGAATTTTAGTGGTTTCAGTTAATTCTTGGTATTTCTAAGGAAAAAAGTATTCTTCATTTTATTCAAAGAACGAAATATTTTCGGGTTATTCCGTGAGTTGTTGTTTTATTTATTTATTAAAATAGATTTATTTTTTTTTTTGCTAGAACTGCGATTTTAAATACAATGTGTTAATGGAAATGTCCAAGAAATCATTAACGAAACAATTTCGCAAACTTGCAGAATTTCTACGCCAATGATTTTTTTAAATACGCTGCTAAATACAATACAGATTTTCATGAACAATTACACAGTTTTTTCGAAAAAATTGGAAATGGTATTTCCACCACTGGTTGCTACATTTTTACACGAACTCAACGAATTTTTATATTTCGTTAGATAAATCACTAGCCCAAATTTCATCACTCTATATATCTTCAGATATATTTTACGACTTTTTGTCTTATGTTAGCCACTTGCATTCAAAACACCCTGTTTAAGCAATATCTACAGTGTGGTGAAAATATCTAAACGAGCTATGAATCCCGATGTTGAAGTATTTTTAATTTTATAGTACCAGACTTTGATAAAAATCCTTGCCTAACAACAGGCTTGGAATGGGAAGATCCTATGCATGCAAACAGATTAAGTGCCACCGAAGAGAGACGTTTAAGTCTTCTAATAACAAAAATTGCATCTTTAGTTAATATAAGGAAACTGATATTGAGGCCATATTTTCAGGACTATGAACTGGTAATGTGTCACTTAAAAATGCATGATTTGAACACTGTAGTAGGTATCATATTAAATAAGTATAAATACTGCAAATTTTTTAGGTTGCAAAAAATAGCGGAACAATTAGCTTTGCCCATTTTGCTAGAATATTGGCATTTCTGAACATACTTGTTTCTGCTGACGACTTTAATCTCCTGGTTAAAAAATATAAAAAGGATTGCTACACTCTCAGTTACCTAGGATTTCTAAGTGCTATTGATCAGGTTGTCGAATATATGAATAAAAATGGGATTTTAGATTTAAGTGGGGTAAATATACGCACAAAAGATAATATCCGATTTGCCCTGATCAAATATAATTTTAGGACATCATAAGCCTTTTTCCGGGAAGGGTGATTTACGCAGAATTACCAAAATTACCTAGACCAGAAATAGGCAAAATCTCAGCGGTCCGGCTCTTTGGGACCCAAAATATATTTCATCCAGCTCTTAATGACCCCAAAAAGTTGCAAGACATATTAACAACAATGGTTTCTATTCAGGATCATGTCTTGAAAAACAGATTAAGGGTTAATGAATTCTTCAAGGTAATTATTTTCTAATTTAATGCAGTAATCTTTATTCCTCTATAAAATGTTTTCTTCAATTTCTTAGATTTGTATAGTAAAAATTAAATATTATTTCATATAGGTTTAGAATACCTTATCAATTTAAGGAAATTTAAATATTTAGATTTTATTTCACAGATGCAATTTGAAAATTATAAGATGCTTAAATATACAATAGAATGTCTCAAACAAAACAAGTGACGGAAAATTTGATTAAAAAAAAGGTTTATATAAAAATAAGTAATAAATGCTCATGGAATAGTATTTTTTAAGGATATCAATTTTATATACCTGTCTGAAGAAAAAATCTAGAACCTATTTAGAAACTTTATATAGAAAAACAATATAGGTAACTAATATCTAAAAAGAATCAAGATATATGAGTAGAAAAAATAATAACTTATACAGGATGATTCACAAACGGCAACCAAAAATGAAACCTCGTATTCTTTGGTGAATTTTAAGGGGGTCTTTCGTATAAAGTTTTTATCTTAAGACGTTTTATTAAAAAGATACAGGCTGTTAAACTTGAAAAAATGTTTTTAATTATTTTAAATAATTTAAAAACTAGTACCTAAGTGAAATAATGTGAAATTGGGCACATGTATATATGTTCAAAACACTTTTACTTAAATGATATGACAAACACTAATCATTCAGGTATTTATTAGAATAAAGGAAATAATAACATTAGTCATTTTAATGTTTTTCTTCTAACTGCTCAGAATGTCAAAGTTGCTATCGCAGCCCACTATGTGATTTTAAAAAGCATTTTATTCGAATATTGAAGTGTGTTTTCAGTTCGTTTTTTAAGTTTTACTCAAAAATCAGGTTTTTTTCGAAAAACATAAGAGCGTAGTAATGTGTAGAAAATTGAAAGACGAATCCGAAAATATCATGTTTGTTACCGTAAAGCAGTGGTGTACTATTTTATTTAGAAAAATATGCCACCGATACCCTGTATCTCAGACAATGAAGCATCTAAATTTTAGAAAAAGGTCTCAGATTTTGGACAATGTTTACATAAATACTTACATGTGCCCAATTTCAAATTATTTCACTTACTAGTTTTTAAATTATTTAAAAAAATTAAAACCATTTTTTTAAGTTTATCATCCTTTATCTTTTTAACGAAGCGTCCTAAATAAAAATTGTATTCGAAAAACTTCCCTTAAAATTTATTAAAGAATACGAGGTTTCATTTTGGTCACCGTTTGTGAATCACCCTGTATAAGTACGTTAAAGTACTTAATGATTTTCTCACGGCTTATTCGATACGAGTGCGACATTTTTTCTTTTTCTTTTCTAATCCGAAAATCTACTTCTATCTCAATACGAAAATGAAAATGTCTACGATTTTCTTAATTAAAACACAACTAAATAAATGTGCATGAACCTTCTTATCACTAACGTGACAACATTTTACTTGACATATGTCGACGTCTCTGTGGCAGCAGCAATTGTTAATGAGTTTTCGTAATATAGTTCATTTTACATAAATTAAATTGTAGGTACATACAGGCCCATTCAGTAGAATTTTTTTGCGTATTTCAAAAGTTTACCCTTTAATTAGTTAGTATGCGAAAAATCAATTTTTGTTTCAACGAGAAATGTGTGAAATAAATTAAGGGGGGCGTTTTTATGCGCAATTTTCAATGAATTTTTTGTCCAATTGTTTAAAAAATCTAAGCAAGTTAGAAACGATATCTCTTCACTGTACTACTCATACAAGTGTTCTTCAGGGTGTGAGATAACTGACAACACATTTTAAGTAAGAAAAAAAAAACATATTTTTTTATCTTACGTTTCCTGAACTTTCCACGACTGTTGAACATACAGATAAAAGCGTACGGTATTATAAACATACCCACACCCAGCAGAATGCTTTTAGGATACTATTTATACATGAATTAATAAGAATTATTGAGTAGTTTTATAAATCAATTGGACAAAACAGGAAAGGTACGTGTTCTGATATTTTATATTATCCGTCATCTTTTCATGCCGAGCAATTGAAGAAATCCTTCGTATTTCAACATTTCTATAGTTTGGATACTATCGAAAAGAGGGCGATAGTCACAGTTGTCGTTCTAAGGTATTTTTTGCCGAACCAGAGCCGGACTAACTTCGATATGTT